AACCTATCACTCATGCCTTTCCATGCCCATTGCATGAAGACACGAGTCACATGGCGGCGTAGCAGAGATTAGTTCTCCACCCTCTTCCGTGGGTATCTTTTCATATGTAATCAGTCATCAAGATGTGACTTTTTTCCTCAGCCATCAATCAGGAGCGCAAAGCACCTTCATCTTCGCAACAATATTCACCAAATGGTTTCGTTCTCCATTTTCATCCCCTGCTTTCATGATTCCAGGAAACGTCACGCAGCTAATTTCTCGCTCGTTCAAAGTATCTTCATCTTCCCCCCCAATATCTTCCATTCTCTCCTCGTCAAACATCGTTTGTTGATGTTCCTCAATTATGGGCATCATTATACTAAAGACTGCCTTTTGAACTCGCAGTAATCGTGAAAGATCAATAGCGGCATTAATTATGGTTTTTAGCGACTGATCTCTAGCTTCAGTACTTTGGACATCAAATATCGGATCCAGCAAACTATTGAGTTGCGCAACAACGGTATTGACAACAGTGGTGGTCTCCGATTTAAGCTTTTCAGGAGCTTCTTTCAGCAAAATCCCGAGCGTCGTAGATCGCCATTGGTTCATTGCATCTTCGGGACCTTTACATTTCGATCAGCTCTTCAAACTTCGACTAACAATCAGATGGCTTTTCTCACCATAAGAACCTAAAGTTATTTCCGTTCTCGCGATTTCCATGGCTTGTTGCTCTGGGAGACCGACAAAGTATGCTCGGAAGATATCAAACACTAATATACTTGATACAAGGGATTGTATGAAGTTAATTTTAGATGATGTTGCTAGATGCTGATACATGGGTACCCAATGCTCCAACTCGTGCCGTACTTCATCTGAAGCCTTTTCCAAATCTGTTACAAGTCAGCTTAGTTTAACACGTTACTTTACCACATTGTCAGTAAAAATACAATATTCGCGCATTTTCCTGCTCAATATGCGCTCATGGAATTTCTCCCAACATAGCCGTGTCAAAATAAAGCTCCAAACGTACCAATTCTTGCCCTCCTAAAATTCGATATCACCCAATTCTGCAACGCATTCCCAATCCACTGCATCTTCTCCGCAACCACCTCATCCGTAACCTGTTCCCCTCCTACCCCGCCCCGTCCACTACTGCTCACCCACTCCTTCAACCCCCTCACCTGACCCCTCAACGCCATAATCTCCTCATCCTTCCCCCTCATCTCTCCCATCGCATCATTATACGCTTCGCGAAACGCATCCCGATCCAACATCAATGCTCCCACACGACTCTGCACCTCAGCCGCACTGGGACAATTCGCATGCGCGGATCGGAGGAGGCGCAGCTGGGAATCGGTGGCTAGGTAATTGGTGTGGAGGGTAGAATGCGCGGTTTGTAGAAGATGGAGAGTTTCGCGCGTGTGGAGGAGTGTGGTGGTTAGATTGTGGATTTGGGAGTCGGGGGGGAGGGGTTCTTCTTCTTCTTCTGATTCTGATTCTTCGTCTGAAGTGGAGGGATGAGGGTTGAGGGGATAGTCTTCTTCGTCGTAGGGTTCGTGGGAGGGGGGCGAGGGTGTGTTGGAGCGTGAGCGTGAGCGCGATCGAGAATGTGGAAGTGGATGGAAATGAGTGGTGGATTGCGGATTAGGGTGAGAGAGTCGAACGCGTGGTGGTGCGGTTATTTCCGCCAAGGAAGATTGCGATTGCGATTGAGATGTTGTAGAAGTACAAGGGAGGGAATCATAATCTCCTCCTTGGAATTTTGTATTTGTAGACCCGGGTCCAGATCCAGACCCAGAGATAGATATGGAAGAGGATGAAGCGCGATGCGCAAGCGAATGCGCAAGATCGATTCGAGAAGATGAGGGTTTCGGCGCGTGTTTCTTTTCTCTGGCGCTCATTTTTGCGGGTTGTGGTTGGAGAGGATGAAATCCTCTTTTTCTAGATAGATGGCTAGATGGGTAATTGATGAATAGATGAATGAGACGTTGTGTACCTCGTGAATAGGTACAGTGTTATACCAATACCGTAATATTTCGCATGCAGTTTCAATTAGATATCTAGATCGGTGGATAGATGGATGCCTACCGGTGTGAGAGCTGAGATGGTGAAAAAAGGTAGGTAGCTCCGTGTAATGGATCGCGTAAGTGGGATTTTTCAATCTTTCTCTCTTCACAGAAAACTAGTAAATTCGCAAAAGATGAGATACAAATGAAGAGGGCATATTGAGAATTAGATACCTAGTGAGTAGGTAGGTAAATGGGTAAAGAACAACTCAAACCCAAATATCCTTTGCTTCTCAACAATCCTCGATAAGATAGAATACAATATAATCTCTTCATGAAAAGAAGATGAAGATGAAGAAGAACGTCTTCCGAAAAACCAAACCCACGAAAATTAAAACAAATAAACAAACCAAATCATCGAAAGAGGAAATCCCGAAACGAAATGAACCCTTCTACCTACCTTGCCCACGGAGCATAGCGAAACAAATGAATGTTCGTGTGGTGGAGAGAATTTCTTCAGATTGATCAAATGAAGGAAGATGAGAGGTTCTTATTCTGCTGCCTGGAAGTATGAGATGCGATGAGGGATGGATTGATAGATGGATGGATGCATTAATTTCCTGGGTAGACGTAGGGAATCAATTGTGCTCTGTATTACTTGTTAAGCGCTAGGTGCTGGGTTCCAAGGTTTGTAAGGAATGGATGGATAGACAGGTTTTCTTTCTTGAGGGGGGTGGGTGGTAGCGGGTGTATGCGTTTTGTTTTGAAATTGGATGGATGATGGATGGATGGATGAGTAGATCAATCATAGGTGAGATTGATTATGAGTGAGGGGCTAACGGGAGATCTGCAGTTTTGAGTAGTGGTGGGTGTGAATGAATTAATATTGAGACTTTGGTTATTGAGTATATATAACCTTATGTATATACCGAGTACCTACCTGTGTATACAACGAGTAAGAGCTCAAGAATATATACCTATTTTTTGGAATATATCCCGAGGGAAGGCAAGAGAGAGTTTCAAATCATTTCTATTCCTTTTCCAAACCATCAGGAACGGGGATATTGTAGATACCTAGTACCTAGTATTCAAAGATAAGATTTTTGACGTCAAATTCCAGATTGCGAGTGAGACTGCGGGGTTGCGATCATAGGTAGGTAGTATGTCACACACATGCACAAATACCACACCAAAATCGATCTAATCCCAAAGACTTCTCCATAATCAACATATTGGGAATCCGGTCTTCCAATTCCCATTCCCATTCCCATCACCACACTGATTGATTGCCTGGTCATATCTAGATAATTTTAAAATCTAATTTCTCCCTCCCAATCCCCTCCCCTCTCCTCATCATATCATCTACTTCGCCAAAAAAGAGACCCTCAAAAAGAAAAAATATGCCCCCTAAGCCCCCCCGTCCCCGCTTAACGCATTTCCTCTGCATCCCCCTCACGACCCCCTCCTCCCATCCCCAACTCCAACACTCCCTCCGCACCTTCAAAAACGACGTCACCACGCCCCCCACCGACGAACAGCCCAACCGGATTCCCATCCCCTCAGATGCCATCCGTCCCCTCTCCACCCTCCACCTCACCATCGGCGTCATGAGTCTCGAAAGCACAGAGCGAATTCAAGGCGCCATTTCCCTTCTGCAAGGAATATTCTCCTCCCCTACGCTAGTCCCCAGGAAAGAAAACGAAGGCACCAAAGAAATCAAAACAGAAATCAAAGACATCCAACTCCCCAAAATAACACTCACCTCCCTCCACCCAATGCACCAACCCTGGTCTACATCCATTCTCTACACCTCCCCCCAAGATCCGCACTCATATCTCCAAACCTTCTGTCAATCCCTCAAAGACGCATTCACAACCGCCGGGTTCATGCTGCCCGAAGAACAAGGACGAAGCTTATTACTGCACGCGACGATTGTCAATACAATCTACGTGCGCGGGGGACGTCAGGATTCTAGCGCAGACACGAGAGAGACAGGAACCGGGAATGCACGTGGAAATCGAGGAAGAGGGAGAGGAGGAAGTTCCTCGGGCCATGGCAAGCACAAGGCACGTCTCACGTTTGATGCACGGGATATCATTTCCAAGTATGCGGATTTCACATGGATGCGCGATGTACGGGTTGAGAAAGTGGCGATTTGTAGGATGGGGGCGAAGAAGAAGGGGGATGGGGACGAGGAGTATGAGGTGGAGGCTGAGATCGAGGTACCTTGTATTTGAGTGGCTAGTTGCATTGTGTGTCAGTGTTTATGGAAAGCATCTATATTAAAATCTATAGCATTAGGAGTGGCGCCGAGGAATAACGGAGCTTGGTATATCATTAAAAAAGATTGCGGTACATGAGCTCTGTAGACTCTGCGATAAGTGGAAGTGCAAGAGAGGAAATACCAAGTAGCATTGTCTTTGAAAAAAGGTGTTTGAAACTGAAACCATGGGTAGCCTCTCTTTCCTACATCTTATCTTGTGCCCCGCATCTCCAAATCACTTTTAATATGCAATGTACATCATTAAATGCCAAGGTCTCGGAAGAATTGAACCTTCTGATTTGATGCGTCTGTCGTGACTTCATGTGCTGAGTAACCATGACATTAAATCTGGTGAACCATCACCTCGTCACCTCATCTAACTAACATTCCTCCTCAACTTCCGTCATCCATAGATAATCTCGAGGGGGAAAGGAGAAGCCAACAGAAACAAACAAAACATTTCCCTCATGTGAACCAATAAAAGAAAAAGAGAAAACCACCATAAGAAAACCATGTATGCCATTTCCAGACAACATAAAGTATGTGAATGCAATCCGAGACGCCTGAGCTATGGGGAGCTTTGTTTTGTAAGAGAAGTATACTGCTCGTGCGTGTGAACTTCAATGTCGTCACAAGAGCCCAGATAGGCAATACTTTCGGTTACTTCTGCCACATCAGATATCCTCAAGCACGAGGACAATCTTCCATCATCGGGGGTTTTTTGAGGGGGTATGTGTGCATACGGCCGTCCTTCAAGTGGCATAAAACTTCTTCAAGACCTTCTCAACCTCTTTGTACTCCTCCTTCACCGAAACCAACGTCTCCTTGATTCTCGCCAAACATTTCTCCTTGTCGGGTTCATCTGTTGTACCAGCTTCATCTTTCTGCTGTCCATAGTGTTGAATCTTCTCACAACTGTCCTTGACTTTTGTCAACCCCAGTGTTGCCGAGGAGCCCTTCAAGAAATGACCGAGCGATGAAAGCGTTGCTAAATCTTTCTCCTTGCTACAAACTGTCAGTACTTGCATTTATGGCTGCGTCCGCAGATGCCCATCTTCCTGAATATATTGTACAAGTCGACACAAATATACGAGCCCCACTTACAGTGCATCGTCCATCTTGACAAAAGTCTGCTCAGCCTGTTCAAAGAATCCGAAAACGATAGAACTGCTAAACTCCCGCTCTTCTTCATCATCGTCCATCTCTAGAATTTGTTCGAATGTGGCCGAATCGATATTCTCTCCGAGATCTGGTAGACCAACGGACCCATCGTCACTCTGTTTTGCGCTAAAGTCAGTTTCATTCTAATGAAATCAATAAACTTGTGGTCAGGCAATGCGCAAGGAAAGTGTATACCCTTTCATCATCTTGTTCCTCAACGACGACTTCCTTGGGTGGTGGGATAACAGGAACGGGCGATTTTTCTTTGACCGGTTCGGGTTTAGGTGCGACTGGTACCGTCTTTGGCGCTGGTGTTGGGGTAGGAGTGGAAGTAGAAGAGGACATTGTGAGGATTAATTTAATGTGCGAACGACAAAAGTTGTCGCTCAACAGATCATGAAATGGTGTGTAGCAATTTTTTTGTTGTAAAGTTGTTCAGTGAGTGGGTTTACTTGCTTCAGATCGCGATGGTGGGGTGGAAGGTCAAGGCAGGGTTGAATGAAATGGAAGACGGGTAGAATAGAATATCTTTCCTTCGTCTAAATCTTGCTAGAAGTGGGGATGTGAGAGAATTCAAGGTCTGTAGGTAGATAGGTCGATTTAATTGGTCATTGGTAATTCTTTTTCACCTCAAAGACGTGAATGTGGATGGTAAGAATGGTACTTTGTATGTGTAGAAAAGGTGTGTTCTCGAGTGTGAGTGGACGGGTGAATGTTAGTTGCGAGGTGAATGTGTTGATGGATGTGGGAAAATGGTCCCTCGGAAAATCTAATCCCCACAACAAAGCCCAATGTTGTATTTATTGTGGTAAAGGCTTGGAATCCTTGATGTTGGTTGGGTTTTGGTACAAATCTTGGTACAAATCTTGGAGTTTAGCAAGGAATTTAACAAATCGTACCGATTGGGCACCCAGGTATATATATTGCCATCTTTCGAGGTCCGAATCCACGTCTGTCTTGTGTTGGTGTACAAATATGTTTGATGTCCGGATAGTGAAAACCAATGTGATTAGACCTGACCAGACCAGATCAGACCAGACTGACCAAGCCAACCAGTCAGATGAGAGAGAATTTGGATGAACCAGTTACTACCGGTGACAGGCAGACTGGAAGTACTCATCTGTCTATCTATCTACCTAGTATCTACTAGGTAGCTTCGGTGTGTTCAGACTTTGACTTTGACTTTGGAGCACGGAGGATTCCATTGGGATATTGAATATTAGTTAATATCTGTCGGATGATTCATCAAAATCTTTCGACTTGGAGGACTATTCTTTTGTTTTTCCCCTCCTATTCATCTACTTTCTTCTCTCCCTTGCCTTGCCTTGCCTTGCCTTCCCTTCCCTTCTCTTCTCTTTCCTCTCTCCTCTCCTCTTTTCTTTTCCTTCTTTCTCTCTTCCCAAAAGGAGTTACGGAGAGGGGTACAAGAAAAGGGTGCCCATGCCCCGAAGAGATCAATATCATGCAAGAAGGGAAGTTGAACAAGATGTTCCGGATCTTTCATCCCTAGAAGTGGATGTGAGGATGGATGTTAGGATGGGATGGATGAATGAATCAATGAATTTGGTGGGTGATGGTGGGGTCGCAGTATTTCTTTTGCAACCCCCATTCTATTATTAAATCGTATGGTGTGTTGGGTACGGTTATCTCTAGGTCAATGTAGCAAGTAGGGTCCTTCTCTCCCAAGCCTTTTTTCACTCTTGTTGGTCACCGCAGATTGAATCTCTGAATATCTATCATGAGAACAAACTGGCGTGAAGTTTTGCGAGCACGGTGACCAGCTGTTTCAAGTGTCACTTTGATTAATCATTACCCGGTACCTTGATCTATCTGGTAAGTGCGTCCGTAGTAGTCATCAGAATAGCCCGATAGCAAGGAGCCAGGGATTGTTCTAGACTCCGAACCAATCTGAATTCATGGTGATACGAGCATGCTAAGGTCGATGGAAGAACCTTATCAAGAACCTCATCAAAAACCTCATCAAGAACCTCCAAGGTTCTTCCGTTCATCCTTGGAATGTTTCAGCTAACTTAAATCTCGAGAAATCGTTTGTTAACGTCCACCCGGTCCTCGGGAGATTCCATGACTACTTTATTGTTGTGATCGTGAAGGACTTTGATGACCTAGTATGTGAAGTATGTGAAGGATGTGTGCTGTACGTGAAGAATGCTACCTAGGTGTCTACGCATGTAGATAGCAGTGACCACGATGATTAATCAGATATTTTGCATCAGGTAGGCATTTATATACTTTGCTGCCATAAAGCATAAAAGGGAGACAACATGTTGTGCTTAAACGAAAATTTATGATCCTTTTTTCCTATTTTAGGCAGTGTTACCGTATTGATATCCAACTATGACGAAATATTACGGGAAAAAACAAGGATCGACGTCATTCCTCACTTGCTTACTAAACCCTTCGAAGGATATATTTGACCAATTAGGAAAATGATGAAAGATGCGGAATTACTTAATCGGGATTCCTACATAAAGCCACACAATCCATCGGACCAACATAGGGAGGTCCCTCTGGGAGTGAAGATTGTTTCTTTCCTTTCCATCATCTCATGTGATCCGACATGACTGACCGGTCTTGGCAAATCAAAATCAACCTTATCAATATCCATCCTCCCTCGTGTGTTGTCGAAGAAAAAGCAAGTTTTGGACCTTTCCATCCGATCTTCCCCCATTATCACCTTATTAGCCTCTTCCCTTTGATAATTCTATATCCTAAACTTTTGTATCACCGGCAACCCTCATCAGCGTAAGAAATCATTCTACTCATACGACCCATTATCAAAACACAAGGTTTTTGTATCAACAGTTCGAGCATCTAGATTCACTTAGATTCTCTTGGGCGTTGAGAAATCAGTTCATCAGACCTTACACGACCTCATACAATTGTCCATGCATTCAATTGATTACACAAATACGGGTCATTGCACACAATGGCATCATTTCCCGGCCATGTGGTCCTAAAGTCATACAACATTTCCGAGAAACTTCAAGATTCGATGTTCAAACGTACCTACATACATCAAGCCAAATGATGAGACCTGATTATCTCAAGAAGGGAGGTAGATTGCACGAGTACTACCTAAAATTTTCCTAAGATAAGGCAGACGTTTCTTGGTCATTGGTATTACTACCTATCAATACGGTGTGATGTGTCATTCGCTGTAACACATACTTTCACTTATTCCATACACAGTTTCTTCTGCTCTTCCTATCACCCCCTACATATCAATTCATCATGCAAAGCGCCCTCCCGGCTGCTCCGAATCAGTATGGCAGCCAGATTTAAATCCCGAAATGTGGCGATGTCAGATTAGGATTAATTTGCGACTCTGACTCCCTCTCGCCAATTGTTGCTTTTGAATTGAGATGGGATCGAAGATGAGGTTCTTCACACATAAACGACTTCGTCCCGAAATATGGACCGGAAGCGACCGATCTGCGGGGAGCAGGTGCCGTGTTGCCGAGGTGTCTGTCATCCGTGCAATGTTTGAGGCTCTGAATTTTGGACTTCCACCTTAAGTCTCCAGAAAGTTGACAAGACCATTTAACAAATCATACCAAATCGCATGGAATTTGCAATCCGAAAATATCAGACACATAGGAGAATTGTACCTGCACGCAGACAGAAAATCATTTCCATATCTGGAAACACCGAGTGGGGCCTCTGTAGTATCAAGTCAATCAATCGCGAATCCCACAGGAGATGCCTAGCTGGTATCAACTGCATGGCTATTTTGTGCTTAAAATCTCTCGGGTTGGACGATACTCATTGCCAATCATCTAATGATCACTACCGGTAAGGTTCTAGCCGGACCTCGTCCCCTTCTTAGGGAGAAGGCACAGTGGCATTGATTTGCAGTTTTGCAACATATATATCCCACTCTGAGTTGTGAAACGTGCCCCCTCTTCGCTCAATCATGTGGTATACAGAGTTTAAATAATCGAACATTTAACTCCTACTGGTTGGGGATCTAACTCTCCAGAATATTGTGATTCTTTAGTTGAAGAACACATCATTTCCTAAGTTTTGGTGTGGACTGTTTCAAATGATCCAAGAGTCACCAAAGTTTGAATCCCTATATATCTGGTCCTCTTGGATGAAGGTGTGACAGACACTGCCCAGCCTCAGACACGCGATCTGGTAATCGACACTATTATAACAAATCGGCACAATATGCTTTCACTTGAAAGTACACCAATCACCAATCGCGCCGAGGCTGGATAGTATGAAAAAAAGGGGACATCGTATCAATTCTGGACCGGGTAAGTATTTACCCGAGCTTTTAGATGAAGCTCGACGCAGTTACTGCTTAGATGCCACGTTTCCGGCATAAGCCTCTTCCGCATTTCGGAGACACAACTAACCCCACAAGCGCAGCTTGATCTTACCCTTATACACGGACCTCCGCATCAGCAACGTGAAATAAGCCTTATAAGGGGTAGTGAAGCTTGAAGCTCAGATCCGCAATGGTTTGTGTATCCTCACCACTCTCAGCCACATAAAAGGAAAATTCACAACCTTGGAAGTCTGAGTAAACGCCGTCAAGGATGATAAATTTCCGTGATATACAGCTCGGCTAGTAAGCGAAAGGCGCAACACAAATAGCATCATATCTGGTATCAGAACAAGACTCGTCATTGACTTGAATGTATTTTGATACCAAGTTGTGGCGAGACGCGTTCCCACTGAAGTTGCCTGTTTCGAGGTATGCGACTGATAACCTCCACATTCAGCCCAGACTATCATTCACCACAACGACCTAGTGAACTCAAGCCTGCTATATATAACAGTCACCTGTAAATCGGACTCGGATTGCCATGGGCGGTTAGAAGTTTCGCATGGTGAAGTTATCATATCAATTCTTCTCCACAGCTGTCCTATAAAGATTCAGTGCAGTCTTGCCAGCAGATACTACAAACACCCTCAAAGGAAAGCTATCAAACACATCAACCTATTCACCGGAGACTATATGGGTGCAGGTGGATCGATTACCTCTCCAATATCTAAGTCATTACAATCCTTCTCTCATCCGAACCCATCGGCTCACTAGCTCATTTGTCAATGACATATCACAGCAACCATACATTCACTACTTCGCTCTCGCATATATACTGTGACAACGCAATGACTTTCGCCATAACGAAGGCACCCATGCCTTAACGGTATGGGACTCGACTCGACTTCCGACAAAAAAAGAAGACGAAAGAGGAAACGCATAATCCTATGCATATCGCCAAACCCAAGGCGACCGTATAATTTATAAGGTAACTTATGAATTAATACAGAACGTAGTAATTATAAAATATTATTAAGCTAAGGGTGGATTCTTCGGGGCTGGTACCCCACCGCGGCCAACCATGGATCCTCTAGTTGAATCCACCGTATTAGCAGCCAGGTAGTTAGCCTTGGTAAAGATGTAGCCACTCATGTAGTCATGAGTGGTGAACTTTTTGCATTCTTCTATGTTGGATATCTATTGGAAATGTATTTGTGAGCTGATAGATAGGCATCTTGCACTGTGGCACAAGGTAGGTTGAAGTGTCTTTGCGTGTTTAGCTCACTTCTTGAATTGTCAACATTCTGGATTTTTGTCCCGTTCAATATTGACTGGTAGTTTGCAGTGTGATTGGTATATTTTGATAATGTGTATGCGACAAATGTTATTTGATTGTATGTATGGTACCTGGGTAAGAAGGATGGGTGAGCCATTTTTCTGTATTTTGTAATGTATGAGATGGATTCCTCTAGGATGGCGAGGGCTTGTGCTACTGAAATTTCATGAATACACGCAAGTTTATGCTAGGGATCGAGAGAGCGACAGTAACCGCGACAAGAAAATATACCTAGGTAGATCAAGTGTGAGAGTTGGGTTGGCTTGTTGGTATATCATCATTTTCTGCTGTATGGATCAACATCCTTTACTCCCTGTACAAAAATATAATGTACGTTTGTTTATAACGCATCTCATCCGTTCCATTGTCTGAATGTAATGTAGTTAAGAGTTGCCATTGCATTTGGAATTAGAGTTAAATTCTGTGATGGGCATTTATATTCAATCTTCTCAATGAGTGAAGAAAGAGATGGTAAATAACATGAACACGAAATTTAGATTCTACTACATACTTAGATGCTTGTATGTATGTACGAAATATTCTCATGACTGACTGACTCATTCAATTATTTATTCAAGTGATAGAAGAAGAAAATGTCTTCCGTATCGATGTGTATTGTTGCGAGAGAAAGAAAATCAGAGGGAGGACCACACGTGGTTTATTTGATGATTAAACAGCACACGAGAACAGTTTCGAGTTCTGACCATCATGGATGAGTGATTGCATGTGGGTGGAATTTGGAGAATGAAATTGCGCGATTGTTGCGTGAGAGGGATTGGATACTAGGTAGATAGGTAGGTAGAGAAGGGGATTTGAGGTTGAGATGAATGGATAGCGAGTGGTTTTATATAGAATTCATCGCATACACATATTCGTTTTCCTTTATTTGTTATCAGGGCTGACTGACTGCCAAACCGACAGATATGTTTGACAGGTATGACTGGCATGCGAATAAACATTATATTTACCATTTCACGCATCCAACAAAACAGAGGTTTGCTTGATGATTTACTGTTCAAGCAATTTGAAAACCATGCAATTTCATTCATTTATTCGTTTCTTCATAATACATCGATCCGTCTACGGACGCGTGATCCCAATAAAAAAACCTAGTACCGAACCCTAAGCCATGCATGCATCATCCATCTATCCATCTCACAGGGTATCAATCTGACCTTCCATCTACCTCTCTATCCCCACAAATCTACTTGTTCTGTCTCTCCAGCTCACTCTCCACCCCCCTTTGCTGCGTCTTCCCCACATCATGCTGTTCCCTCCTCGCCTCCTCCTTCTCCCTATCTCCCATGACACCCGCGACCGCACCCCCCACACTACCCTGCACTCTATTCTTCACCCCACTGCCCAAATCATTCAATTGACCCTGGGCTTCCTGGCCTCTGCCCGCCGCATTCTGTTCGCGACCATCTTTCTTCATCTCCTCGCTTCCGAGGATTCCCCCGACAAATTCCTTGCCAGATCCGATCGTCTGGTTCCAGGATCCTTCTTGGCGCGCAGGATCGTTTTTGGTTACGGCGCCGGAAGAGGAGGCGCTGATACCGCCGGCGGAGAAACCGGCGTGCGAGGCGTCGTGTTTGAGAGCTGCTTCGTCGTGTTTTTGGGCGGCGGCGTGCTAGGTGGTGGGGTTAGTATGGGCGTTTGTTGTGTGTTTGTTTGGGAGTGGGAGATATGGAAAGGAAAAGAGATAGATGAGAGAGGAAACATACCTTATCAGCAGGGTTGCCAGTAATAGAACCAAGCGCCGATTGAGCTGCGCCAGAAGCAGAATCAATGTATGATTGAAGAGTTGAGGTGTTCTTGTCAGACATATTTGCGTTGATGTTGTAGTTTGTTTGTTGATTAATTTATTTGTGAGTTTATTGTGAAGCTATAAAGTTGTGAGTTTGTTGGATTTCTTGATGATGATGATGGTGGTAAGTTAAGGGAGGTTCTTTGAGCTTATATATCCAAATTGTAACTTGTGATGCAGATTCATGACGTCATGACCCCAAATACTGGGCAAGGAACTTTCCTAACCAAAACTTGGATCGTACAACAAATCATTGACCGAAAAGCGACAAGAAATTACCTAATAATGGAAACGGATATGATGCGATTATTAGAGACGATATTCAAATATCAATAAAGAAATATTGAGAGTCAAATCCGGGTTTGCATAAAAATAAATCGGGGTAGTTGTGACACCTTGCGCTAGTCAAAGATCCTCGCGTTTCGAGACCCCGCGACTAAAAATAGAAACTTTCATTTGTACAACATGGGGCTTCTAGATTTTACACCCGCGCCTGGTATCTCTGCCAAGCCTCGTAGAATCAGTTTCTGACATACGCGTAGAAAGTACAGAATTCCCAGTTTCATTGATGTCTGCTGGTTTGAAGAGATTAGCAGTCAGCTCTTTTTGCGCTTTTTGCATGATACTCGTGGTCAATTTCAGAGAAAGAACATTGCACAGTGGCTAGTGTGTATGTATGTATGTATGTATGTATGTATGTGGATTTGGTAAGCTATGGACAATCCCAAGATCAAAGGCCTTCGTGTGTCTTTTAAACCCCAAAGACCCCTGCCCCTGACATCTATATTGACCTAGGGATATCAAGAAAACCTCACCAACCACTCATGTCTCCAGATCATAAGTGTTGAAAAAGGTAAAAAAAATTCTCCTTGCGCCAACCATAACTCCATATCTGGGTATTTCAAAGAGCAAACTCTCCGTCCACCATAAATCCATTGCTATTCATACATTCGTATCCTGAACTTTCGTTTTGTATCGTAAATACCGTAATGTCGTATTATTGTAAGTGTATGCAAGTCGCATACCTATGCAAATAACGAACCGCTAATCGAATTGAGATGAAGTATTACTGGCAAGTCGAAAAACATGATATATTAGAATGTCTGAAATTTCTGATACTTTGAAGAAGAGGGTGTATACTCACTGTCTTTGCATGAAGCGCGTAAGCAAGCAAAAAAGCAAGCAAAAACACAATGAAAACCGGAATCGATGCAAAAAACATATGTTGTTTCTGAAGATTGGCCCTCTGCTCCTCGAGATGGGCGATCTGCTGCTCCTCGAGATTGGCGATTTGCTCCTTGAGTTCGACAATTCGCTCCTTGAGTTCGACAATTCGCTCCTTGAGTTCGGCAATATACATGGCATCGGTAATTACAGGCATCTCGTCGTCGTCGTCGTCGGTATTGGAGGTGCTATTTCTGGAATGCTCCTTTTCAGAGTTATTCAAAGCTAATGACTGCATATCATTAAGAGAAGCCATCTTTGAATGTAGGATAATCGTAAACTAATTGTAGAATTCCTTGGTTCCTATTGAAGAAAGTCGAGACTTGTATGTTGTGTTGAGAATTGGTATACCTGCTCGCTATGCTCATGCGGAATCTTATAAAGGTCTAGACGTTGGAACTTTGAAATTTACCGAGGACGCTTTGATTGCTAATGGATTGTATAAGGCGTATTCATTTGTTAGTAAATCAATATGTATCCAGTAGATAGGTACCTTATAGGGAATTAGGGCAATTTAGGTCGGTTCTATATCGGATATTCAACCGTATTGCAACTGGCGAATTCACTTTTTGTGATTTTAATTTAGGCTGTAATTCTTTCGAAGAAATGTTTAAATCGGATATAAATTAGACGGTTGTAGAGTTCTCAACGGTTGTAGAAGGGTTGTAGAATGGATATATTGCTTAGTAATCTTGAAAGTTGGAATGGAAGCTATTCAGAATTCTAATACTAGGAGTTCAATCAATCATATGTGTATTCTCTATCCCACCCACTTCCCCTATAGAATCATACTCAATGCCACCAGACTAAACTTTAGCTAATTCGAATTATTCTGAATTCAGATTTTCAAAATGTATTGAATTTGAAGTTCTACAGCAATAGCAAATTCTTTGTATATAAATTTTATACATTTACTGGAATATTTGCTAGCGTATTTGTTAATATCAATTAGATTAATAAGGGGAAAAGGGATTATATAAGAATATACTCAGATTTAAGTCTTAAATCTAAAGTATATTGGATAATCCCTATATTAGCTTTAATTTATTTAACTACTTATTGTTTTAAATTATTTATTAGCTTTAACTATACTAATTCACTTCAGAATATTGAAAACTATAGTTTTAATTTAAATCTGATTAGAAACGGATTTAAAAATTTAAATGATTGTATAACAGATGTATTAATTCAATTAGTTATATATCGATTCTAAAAACCCCCCTTTTTCTATCTAGGTAGGTAGGAACAAATTGAGATTCAATTCAGTACTGAAAGATAGATATACTTATTATTTTTGAATATTCTATTCAGTAATATCCTATATCTATTCAAGCCTACGGTTAGAAATATTGAATTCTGTTAAACTAAGCGCGTTTTCATACAACCTTAACTAGATTGGTAGATCCTGATGATTTGCATATTGTCCTCTAAAATTCAATACGGCTTAGCTCGAACCCCCGCATCCTTAGCTCAGCCTTACCTATACTACCTATCTTTATCAAACCTTCTACTCGGTGTTGTTTTAAATGAATGCCGACCTCAATTATAGCCGAATTCCTCACCCAAAACCATGCTTATTTAGTATTTTCAAAATTTGATATTAAAAAAAGCAATATAATTAGATTCTTCAAATTTTGAGAATATATAGAATATCAATGAAAAAATCTAATATCAAAATTTCAAAGTTTTTAAAATCAAATTGAAGAACTTTCAACGAATGAAAATCTCTTTTAAATAATACTTTTTTCAGACTTAGCCTTAGACATTCAAAGTCTAAAAATAAGCGAATTTTCATTTCTATACTTTCGATATTTTCATTTTCTAAATAATTTGATAATTGTATTGAAATATTATAATTCGAAAAGATATTTATAAAATTCAATTAAATCTCTATAAATTCATAAAATATCATACTTCAAATCTTTATAATTAAATTATAATTGAATTTTGAAATAGATAACTTTCATTGAATTTTAGTGTAATATATACTAGCTAAATTGTAGTCGGTATTCATTTAAAACAACACCGAGTATTATAATAATTATATTTCACTTACTATCGTATAAGCTAATAAATACCCACCTACCTAAAGATACACTCTAATTCCCACTAACACTAACTAGGTAAAAATAAAATATGATCAAAACATCAATTCAGATTTAAGGGCAGGCAGAAATAACTATATACATACCTATACCTACCTACCTATCGTAGTACAAACTTAATTTTACTCACCAGTCCCTCAAAATTAAGAGGAAATTCGATTAACCCAATCATCAGCCTTCTTGATTTTTTATCCCTGACACAACACTACAGTAGCTGAATTGAATTTCATCTCCCCATATACTATACCTAGTAGTTATAAGTTACCTGGGTAGTCATGATAGATCTCGCGGGAGGGATCATATCATATCATTTCATATCATTCCATCAACCCATTGCGGGGTATGGCATCATCATCATTCATCACCATCTTTCCTTCGAAATAAATCCCGGTCCACATGATCTATTGTCTTGGCAGTTTTGACCAAATCATAAAGAGGGGTCTCAGACTAGGTAGGTATGTAGATAGCCAGTTCCAAGCGCCCGTCGCAAACAAGGCTGAATAGGTACTCAAAATAGAGAATCTCCAGGATTTCCAGGATTTCTACGATAGCATCATTTGAATCAGCTGGTTGTGGCTAGTATGTTGTGGAACTTAATACGTATTCTATACTTCTGATTGTGGATTCTAGAAAGCTTGGTAGCGGGGTTGTGAAAGCTTGGTTGGAGTGACATTCTCTCAACTGATGATCACAAGATCTATCGTTACTAGAAAATGTCATTTGAGATGAGACGAATGATCTACTTTGTTATTGTATTCTTATTACATCATTTTTGGATAAGGTTACTATTGTAGCAATTTCTGGAAAGTAGATCTAGTTTATTCATTACCTAGTAGTCGTTACTATTTACATCATATAATCCTACCCAACCCAATATTCAAACACTAATAACTTCCGTAACCATAACCCCTGATTCCCATCTTGTCACCAACGGATTCTTCATATCATCCGTTCTTCTCATCCTTTCCGTATCCTCATTCTCCATAGCCCTATACCTCTCCTTGTCCCACTTCCATATCCCACCCCCACTTTCCAAACTCAATCCCTCCAGACCATTCGCTAATCGTTCCGCAACTTCATCCCTCCCCACCTTGACAAAAAATCTCCTTTCCCAAACTATCCCCTTAGCCTTTTCCTTCCTTCTCAATTCTCTCTGTTCATTCTCTATCTTCCCTTTCTCTTTCCCAATTTGAAAAATATCGTTTTCATTAATAGCTCGTGTAACATGACGCCAGGCTCTTCTCGATTCGTACTCCTTTTGCTGATCGATTGGCTTAACTTTTAGCGATTTCCTCTTCAACGAATTCGCATTGAATTGCGATATGCATTTTCCACTTCTCATGTCTTTGATGTTGGATTCCCCACTCCATTGTCCTTCGGCTTTATATATTGGAGTATTCTCACGTCCATCTTTATATATGATTGCGGAAAATGTGTTAGGTGTTCCACTGATCCAGCCTTTCGAGGAATATGATATTTGAGTTGTGAAACCGGATGAGGAACGAATGTAGGAAGTGCCGCTCAATTCAGGATTAAGAGAACCAGACATAATTCCGACTATATGTACAGGCGGCATAGTAATTAAGTGTGTTTCGTTGTGTTGACCGAGGGTTAAAAGAGAGTAGCCGTTTCGTTCGATGTGTACCGTTGAGCTAAAGTAGGATTGTGGAGCGATGGTACCTTGCAGCTAGAGGGAGAGTATTAGTGTGAGACACAATGAAATTAACAAGAGACAGGAATATTTACTTGTACACCATGTTTTTCGTTCGAGATATTATATGCTGTAGCTGGTGGATGATGACTGTCAATTGTTAGTAAAAGTTTCCAATTTCTCTTTCCAGATTAAAAGAAACTTACCTGACTTGCTCAGCAACCAAATCTGTTCTCCCGGTACCCTCCCCATCATCCTCCCAAGAACCCATAAAACACTCTCCCAAGAATGGATTGAGGGGTTTCATCCCCTTCTTCTTTCCATTCTCATCTCGATTACTATGCTGCCACTTCAATGTACTGATAAACCATTTTAATACTAATAACGCTCTTTCTTCAGCAGACTCTGATTTTGTGGGTGCGATGAACAGGGATGGGTGTTCTGCCCAGTAGGTAGGAAATTCGACGATTGATTGTGGAGAGAGAAGAAATGGAGGTGCTGTGAGCGTTGACAGGTCACCTTTGAATGTTGCTATCGACTAAGGAGTAATCGTTAGTATGAATTTATATGATTATCTCGAGGGTAAATCTGTGTAGTGATGCTATTCCCGTTGAACGCTAGGAAGCTCATGATGGCATGTCGTCCATCAGCGTACAGCTGAAATATGTGCCGTGCATGTCCTGTTCACTGACCAGACATCGAGGATATGAATAATGTGAGAAAGAGGATTTAAAATACCTTGATGAATCCAAACCACGCACTTTTATGCTGTGGCGCAATCTTCTCTTCCGTGCACTTCTCCATGTCTTCGAAGCCGACTATGCTTTGAAATGTGTATTTAGAATGTCTTCCTGACCAAATTCTCTCAACAAATTCTGCAATGAAACTTCAATTGAATTCGTATACAAAACCACAATCTGCGAACAATATAGATTGAGAAAAGCGACCCTTATTAATGTACGTCGTCCGAAGATAAAAGAGACAAGTGCTCGGACATCAATAGTTCCATGTTCTATAATGAAAACAGCATAGCCTACCTCCTTCTCACCTATGATCCGGGGTTATTGACTCAGAAAGTAGATGGCATAGCAGCATGGGATGGTTTTGCATCAAATTCGTCTGGAATGTATGCTTTCGAGACGGAAACTGCTTCATCCGAGACTGAAAGTCTGAAACTCTAACGTTTTTGCAGGCTGACATATCCGGCATTACCTGGTATTCTCGAGGTATTATTGCCTCGGTTGGAATTCGGATCAGACGGTGACGATTGGAATTTCTCCGTTTCTTTATTAATACGAAGTAGAATGCGATAATTATTGGTAGAGTGACATTCATGGCTGTATTATTAAAACTTTCTTTTGTTGATGTTGGTGGTGGGGTAAGGTTAGTAGAAAGGAAACGAAAAGTTGGGTTAAGATAAAGATAAAAGATTAATAATAAGATGTCCCGTGGAGGAGGCGGAGCATTTCCCTTTTGTTTGCGGGCATGACTTACGAATATTCATGAAGATGAAGAATCCATGCTCATACTATTGTATTACTCCGCCTCACCGAGTATCATACAACATCTGCAAAATCACAAATCACATTCGTGAAGACATGTATGTAGAAATACATAAAAATTCATAGAATTGAATAACGCTGCGACAAACAGCGTATGGGTATCAAATAAAATCCGGAAAGCCAAAGATCCTTCCTCCCTTCCTAAAACGCCATTTTAACCGTCTCCATTCTGTAGGTATTCGATACCCATTCTGAGCAATCATACAATACCGCCGTTAAACCAACCACTCTATTGGGGTATCAATTCCTCTAGTCCTGTCATCCATTTCATGATTCGATCTCAATGATCTCTTCAAAGACTCATGTCTTCGCTTCTTCTCCTCTCACAACTTCTCGTTCTGCGCTCCTTCAATTCTCTTTCCGTATCCATCAATCGTGTTTGAACCCATTTCCTATATCTGATATCGCCCTTCACACTCTCACAGTTGAGTAGATCAGTCAAGGCAGTCTTGATTTGTTGGTTCACATCCTTCAATTTCTGCTCGTCCTCCTCAATCACTTCAACGACTGTTTCATCTACAATCGCTGGTAGTAAATTGATCCTTTCCTCGCGGTGAAAGTGTTGCGTGTGGCCAAAAGAGGGTGGGAGACTGCCCCTGCGGGAGCTGATGTTGGGGATAGGTGAGCCGAGAGGTGAAGTGGATGCATCACTAGCAGTACTGGAGTCTGAAGAGACTGAAGAGTTGCGATGACGATCGGTCTGTCCGATGGGACTCTCGGGGATGGAAGCAGTGACTTGGTTGATGTGCTTCTGAAGAGCATCATGCTGAGAGTGGAGGAGCAGATATTTCTGCAGAGCAAATGCTCTTTCGGGCGACTTTTGCATTGTAATTAAAGGTGCCATTCTGTATTTGCAGCTGTGTTGCGCTGTGCTTTTGAGGTTTGACGTTTGTTGAGGGTATATGTCCGTGTTGTGTATTTGTAGACTTGATAATCGAGGGGCACAATTTTGAGTTCGACTTATCAAAGGGCCAAGATAGGGTTCAAGTGGCTATGTCGTGCAGTTTAAACTTTAATGTGAATACAGAATAGAAGATTGATTTATTTCGAGGAAACCTCGAGTGAATGGTAGCAACATATATCTAAAACAATATGATGTGACGTAGCCATATTTTGATACAAGTTACAACTTCCAACGAGAATCCCACCATACCGGAGCTTTGCTCCGGGAGGTGTTTCTTCATCTATTTCTTTGATGTTTGTATAGTCCATCAGACATCCACTCTCTATCGTAGTAATTTAAGTGTAACAAATTGAACGAGTGGTCAGCAAATGATTTGCATGGCATTTGAGAGGTTTTTTGTTTACCGTTATTTTACTTTACACAATCCTTAAACTTCTCAACCAATAACAGTAAAGAAAGATGACAACTCGGGCCACACGCACCGCCACATACGGACCGTTACCTGTGGCGTCATTTCCTGTGAGGTCAAAAAGATAGGTAACAAGTTTTCCCTTTATTTCGCCTTGGTAGTGGATCTTGATGTCTATGCATGACGATCACTTACCCGGTTTTTTTGTTTTCTTTATCGAATAGAGTTCTTTCGCCCTGGCATATGATCAACCTTTCTTCCCAAAACATGGTCCTGGTAATTTTAGAATATGTCTGATTAATCATTTCATGTGTACTCTAGGGGAAGGATTTGCGGCGACACGTAGTAGATATGTAAACCATCGATCGATCGCAATATGGTTCATCGAGCCTTCCAGCCCTTTTCTTCGGAGCGTGTCGCTTTTGATATCATACAGGAGTAAACCTCCTCAAACTAGGAGCGAACCTCCACTGTGCTGCTTGAAAAATCCTTCCAAGAAATCCTAGTGATGCACACTTCGGAGAAGAGGTCAGGACTCACGAGTCACAAGAGCTGCGTATCGTTATGATGTGAGCCTAGATGAACGATCTGTAGATAACGACAAAAAGTCGGGGGTCTCACGAGTTCGAGACCTCAAATGTGAATGTTAGAGCACTTGCCCATGGTTCTTCTGCAGGTAGAAGCATCGAAGCGTGTATGGAAGGAAGGAGACAGCGACAAGGCACATTAGCTGAAAGTTTAATACTTAATGTACTTCCTAGCGGTAACAATTTCACACCAAGCCTATTCGCGTTGCAAGTAAGTATACAACTCCGCCGCCAAGAAAACCAGGTTAGTCCTCTTGTAGTTCATCGCCTTGCGGGATGTCCATCTAGCTTCGGAGTTGTATACTTTCTGGTAGCATGAGTATGTTGTAGGGCTATGTACTAGTTTTGATAACGCCAAATCTATGATACTGAGCCACTCCTGTCCTTAACGGATCCATGGATAACCTTAAAATCCAAATCCTTCCACCATCATCTAGATCTGTCACATGGAAAATTGAATATAGCTTGCGTGTTTTCGTAGGCCAGATGTTATCGCATGTTTTTGCTAGAACATTTTGCGAGTTCCTTAGGGTCTAGAAATACGACTACTTATGAAGCTCCTTCTGGTACTACATCACTGATAATCCTTCTAACCTCAAGGCAAGAGGTTCTCTTCTAACTCTGACCACTAGATTGTCTTCCGGCCATATAACCTTTAAGGCTCCCTATGCTATTTTCCGGCTACGTAAACCGAAATAAGAGGCGAGAATTGAGTCTCCTTTCAAAGGACTTCTTAATTGAATTCATAAATTCGTTTCAAGTTAAATACTAAAACATGGAAATATCAAGCGAAAATTTGACCCTTTTTTATATTATCAATCAGAACTATATGTGTCTAATACGATATTGAAGAGAGATTCGAAGTTCTTCAGGTTATTTCGATTACGTAGAGTCCGGCTCATTCCCGGCTCAATCCAAGATCAAAATCACGTGTCATTCTGTTAATCTCACATGTACCTTATGAAGTCTCGCTCTAGCAGCTTCTTTTCAACTCAAGTTCTCCCATTTTTCCGAGTTTGCAATTCCTTTTCCAACGGAGCGACGACATTTTGCCAAATTGCTTCTTTGAAATCAATATTCTCCAGACTTTTATTTACAGGCATAGGTTGAAAAAAAAAAACAGAACACACACAACTACTGACGGCTTGAAAATATCCTGCAGGCATATTTTCCAAATTTCCATTCTCTTTCACCCATCTCTCAGCCACAATGACATCAGTGCTTGAATTTGGAATACCGTTAATCAGATCGCTGGAGAATCGACGAGATTCGATAGGTTCCGCAAACCAGTGTTCTAGGAGCATTATTCCGAGGCATAAGACACTAATGTGTGGGTGAGTGGGAGTAGGACTGGTAATACCGCTGGAAAAGAACTTATGAGCAAGCAGCGGGCGTTCTATATCCACAGGGCTAATGCTTGGATTGCTTCTGTCAGACAAGAACAGAATTTCGCTTTTATTCCATCGCTCATTGAACCGAGGAGTGGCATGGAGCTGAAGTAGTGATGAGGCTAAGTTCGCAGTTAGTGTGATTCTCTCAAGTTTGAAGAGTGTCGTGCTACTCGTGGGAACGACGGATAAAGTAGGCCCAGAGATATTTTTGAGTAGGTCGCCGAGATTAAGAATTCTGGATGGGAAGGACTTGTGCCATCTTGGAACTTCGAACGTGCCTTTGAGTTTTCGCGCTTCATCTACTACGAATCCGAAACATTCATGGATGCTCTGCGGGCTGTTTGACACCTCGCAAATAGTGTTGATGGCTTTCAGATTCTGATAATCAATCTCCTCACTTGAATCCAAGTTATAGATTGATGCTGGACCTCTTGGTGTAGTTGTCATCATAGCAGAAGAACTTCCACTGGCGGGAGGCCCTGATACATTAGGTAAGATTGGTCCAGTATTGGGGTCTAGGGGACTCCAAAGCACCGCGGAGGATTGTGTACTTTGTAAAGATGGTTCACTTTTCCATTAGCTATTGTTCTTGGCGCAGGAACACATACTAACCTCTTTGGAACCACCACAACTTGCATTTATTTCCATGCCGAAGAATCGCCAGCAGCACTTGTTGCATCGTTTGACACAAACAATAGGTCGAATCGAACTGTGTCTTTTTAATACAATCCGAGTAAAGTGCCTAAAGAGAAAATCCTTTGTGTATACTTATGGATTTGAACATGTGTGTGCACAGAGATGATATCGCTTTACGATTCTATTCGTTAAAATGATGTTTGGTTGCCACTCCCTTTGCAACTAGTCAAATGCCAACTATCTAGCCAATTTCAGCTCTCTAAAGTTAAAAATAGCTAATATACCTTGAGAATCCGACAGAAAATATCTCTCATAAGTAAACACTACATCTTTTAACAACGCAAATATGTTTTAATCATCCTCTATCTCTTCGGGAAACATTGTACCATTACCACTGCTTATCTGTTTTTTGATATCTCTTCCGCCGATGCGCATAGTTCTATCAGGAGATGAGAAGTTAATATCTGATTTCGATCCAATAAATGGCTGAGGTTTTGTGAAAATAACTTTGTGATGTGGTTCTAGGAAAGAACCTAGAGTCGTTGTTGATGATGTATTGATCTGGGAACCTGAGACAGCCATCACAGAAAGCGAGTCTGTCTTTGAAGATGAGGAAGTACTGGTGTTTGGGATGCTGGAGTTTTTTAAGTTTACTTCAGAAGTGAGATTGTCTGTAGATAAATCTCCTCTAGCCACATGACGTTTTTCTTCGTACGGATATGGAGTACTCTTATTTCGGGCAGCCGCTCCGATAGGGTCGTGGTTGACACTGGACTGATAAGCTAACGTTGAGTAATTGGGGGACTGGCCAAATTCGTTCCTATACACTTTGCTGTTTCTCTGCTGTGTATCTTGCCAATTGATACGACTACTCGCTTGCGCAACATATCTAGGTTGCAATGGACTTTCTGACTCGATTGAATTGTGCACAAAGGTTGAAAATGTTGGCGAGGGTTCCCTCTCCTCGAGCTCAAATCCTGTGGATGTAGTATTTCCCACCAGTGTGTTCTCCTCTTCACTGACATCATCAAAAACAAACTTCATCCAGAGTTCGTTTGGGTCTGTTTTCTCTTGAATACCTTGCGTCGGACAATCTTTTACTTTGCCGAAAGTTTGATCCTGCATAATGATTTGATCGTGCTGTGGTGCGGTTTCCTTAAGTTCAGTGGTTTGTCTGCTGGTGATAGGCGTCTGCTGAAAAGGGAGAGCTTCGGACCAAGGATCATTGAGAAACTTACTGTGAGAATTTCTGGCTTTACAAGGACTTGAGCTCCTAGGAGGATTCCATGGAATACTTGAAGATGTTCTCTGTGATGATCGAGTGTCTTGTGGTTCGATCGTGAAATCGTCCTCATTTGTATATTGTACGCTTGTTGATGGTCCCTCTTTCTCATTTCCAAGCTCACATCTATCAGACGACAATGGGTGATCATAGACATCTGAGCTGTGCGGCATACCGTTGTATGAGATATTTTCGACTTCATCCGAAGGAAATAAATCTCTGTTATATACGGTAATAGACTGCTCCTGTATCATCGAGCTTTCACAGCCTCCCCAGGACTCAGTATGCTCATATTTTCCACTTGAATCCTCATCATTGGACCGTGAGCTCCTGAAGGTTTTCTCACGTAAGGCTGGAATGGCACTTATTCCCGGGCTTATCAACACACTCCTATCGTTCAGATGTTCTTCTCCTTCCCCTTCATCATCATAATAATTTTGCTCTGCGCCCTCTGTGTATGGTGGTATCCATGCTTTCCACATCTCATTGTCCATCAATTGATCTTCAGAAACCACACTTCTCAAGCCCCCGACCTGTGCAAGCACACTACTGTTACATTTAGGCGAGCTTAAGTGGAGAACAGGATGCTGTGCAGGACGAATGGGCACTGGTTGTTTCATCCTAGTATCGCAAATTGATCTGACGGCTGTGCGAGAAAATGGTGATGCTTTACCCCCAAACTCATTTGAAATTCCATTTCTGTTGACTATGTTAAAGAGCGGTTCACGTCTCGTATCTGGAAGCTTCTCTTGGTTTCTATGTGTACCGCGAACATCCGGGTCTCTGCTCAATGGAATTATCCTCGTCGAATCATTGTCCTCTCCAATGCCATGTATTCTTGCTTCGAAAATAGAAAGAAATCTGTCACTATTCAAATCTTCCTGGTCCTCCATGATATACTCATCGTCAAGCAACATATCATCCGATGACAAAATCCGATACTTCATGCGCGGTGTAGATTGGCGGATTAATTTAGTCGGCCGGGAACTCGAACTTATGCCTGGCGGAACAATCCTGCCTCCGATCGAAATCCTAACGTCATTTTTCGGCAGGCTTCCTTCCACGTAACCCGCTTCTTGTTGCTCCCGCATACGATTGTTCCTTACGGCAAACGGCGAGCTGATTCTTGCTTGAAGCTTTGAGCATCTTGCTCTGTGTCCACCCTTTACCTTTCTTCTTCGCCCAATATCTTCATCGTGTCTTGGTTGGTTGAACTTCAATTTCGGCAAATGATGAATGTTTAGACCGACCCAATCTTTCTGATTCAATAGATTCCGTCTCCTTTCTTCCATAGATTGTTCTATTGTTTCTCGCGCCTCGTAGTTCTGCGGAGCATCTCTAAGCTCTGATAATACAGCATGCTCGCGCTTGATTCTCAATGGTGGAGGTGTAGCGTTGTATAAATCGTCGTCGGCAATGGAACTTCTTTGGACGAATCCAACTGACGAAGAACGATTGTTTTTCTGCTTATATTGAAGCTCTTTGCACAGTGGATTTGATGTGAGATCGTTGTGTTTGTAGAGATCCGTAAAATGTTCTCGCTCAACTTCATTTCTACCTCTTTCCTGTCTTGCACTATACTCAGAATTGTTCACAGAACCAACACGATTTCCAAACGATCGTCTGTGTGGTTGTTCCACTACGATATTGTCGAAGATTGTCCATTGAGTAGTAATATTTCTTTGACATTCAGTTCTTAAGTTGGCCTTCACCTTTGCGAAGTGTTCCTTTTGCCGCTTGGTCAAGGCACCACCGCCGCCGCCACGAGAAGATTTTCCAGAATGCCTTTGCAGGCGCCCTCCTGTCCAATTCATTAATAAGAATTATTCGATTTATTCAATAAGATGATGAAAAGGTTGTTGAAGTTTTGTTTGGATAAAATTTTAATGAAGGGTTGATGTTTGTCAGAAGTGAAGCATTATGGGACAGGTTGGTAGCGGGGTGGATTTCCCAACTCATTTTCAATCGATTTTAATTCGACTCACACACCTTGATAAGTAATACTAGGCACTTGACAAGTAAACTTCTTGGAAATCTATTTCTTTGCATCTCCTCTAAATTTACCAACATTGAAAAGTTATCAATCTTTATTCTCGTCAAGTTCCTCTGCCATATCAACTCACCACCCGTATCGAACTTCTCATAGTTGTCGACATTTCATTCTCTGCGACAAGACGCACCTCTTTATTGGTTTGCAAATTCATACAGTCAGTATGATTCTCTTGAAATCTTCACCAGTTCAAAATGCATGCTATCCCAATTTCACAATCCAAAGTGCTGATGTGTTTTCCTAGATTTTGAGAATGACTCCTGTCTCTGCCCACGAGGTACCCAATCGCAATGCGACATTTCATCCATTTTCCCGGCTACCCTTAGAAATTCGACGGATGATTTGGAGAGCTGCACTTCCTGGACCAAGAAATGTGGCACTGAAACATTTTTGTTTGAAGAATCCCGAATATCCTATTGTTCGGTAAGTCCTGCTGTTCCTATGATCTCGAGTTCTTGGACTTCATTATGTCACTTACCAATTTAAAGATCAAAACTCTGCAGCTGGCGCGATTTCCTTGACAAGGACGCAGGAGCCATTAGAGGGTATGCGTCCAGAGACTCAAATCCAACAATTTTCTACACTTGCAGGGAATCATTAGAGGTTGCTTCTGAGACCTATACGCTTACCCTTGGCTCATTGGGAGTCGAACCGCGAACTTGGTTCAACTACGACATAGATTCGGTTCACCTTGACATGTCATTCATGGCTACGGTATTTCAACGCCTCAATGTCAACATTGACGACATTATCTTCATGGTTCAAGCGGCGCCCAGAGATTTTCTTTCATTGTACGAAATTGATGGTCTAGACGGTGTTTCGGAAGTGGTTTTCATGACATCAGAAGTAGATGGCATTTCTCGTTCAGTGCGTCTTGACCCATGGGAGAATGGCTAAACTAAACAGAAAATACAAACCGAAGTAGCCCTGAAGTATGTTGTCATATGTTTCTGATTTTACTCTCCATTGACCAGTATCTCTTTATATGTGGCTCGCTATATATAACATCACATTTAAAGTCAGGAATCATGATTCTCGCGAAAATATTGGATTGGCGTAGAGTTTTCTGTCTTCTGTCTTGTCTTGCTTGCGTTGCCAATAAGATGTCAGCTCTATATACCTGACATCTCGCTACTTCAGAACGAGACTAGGGGATGATTACATCCGCAGATCTTGCGTTGCACTATCATTTATAGGTTAGCTTTCTCTCATATTAGACAATGGGTAATTACCACCCAACAATTAATTGAGCAAGCTTTTCTAATTACCTAGTAGGTAGGTAGGTGATGATACCGGGTGATGTTAATATGCTGACACTGGAAGTGAAAACTCCCCGGAAGTTCAATTGTGAATGCCAATTGAAAAAACTGACAACTCAGAAAGCCACAACTTCTTTTCATAAATAACCTTAACGTCATAAAAATAAACATCCAATTCTGCATTGAGCCTTCCACGCAAGGCTGAACAAGACCCCAATCTCGGCACCCAAACCTCTGCATAAACCCTGCATATGCCACGCACGAGCCCCATGTCTCAAAATCCGACCCGCAAACAAACCATCCAGGAAGCACGCGGCTGAGCTACTTCCAAGACCTCTCATCATCAATCTCACTGTCAACGACTAGCCATCATTCAACCCCCAACCTACGATATGTGAACTCGATGTTCACCTAGCTCACACTGGCATCTTCAATAGATATCCCACTCGAAACAATGGCATCTTCTACCGCCGAAGAACCTCTCCTGTCCCATCAACACGGCGAGGAAGAGGAGGAGAATGATGTGGATGAAGATGTCTCATTACTTCTCGAGAAGAATTTGAGTAAACCCGGGCTATTCGTTTGGCTGCTTGCTTTTTCTGCAGGTATTACCGGGCTATTATTTGGATGTATGACCTCCTCTCCACTTTCCCGACTCCTTTCAATTCACTCTAAAGCTATATCCGGAAATACATCGTAGCTAACAATATATGAACCAGACGACACTGGCGTAATATCCTCTACCCTAATAAGTCTCCATACTTCTCTCGGCCGCCCCCTGACAACTCTCGACAAATCCCTAATAACATCATGCACCTCTCTCTTCGCACTCATCATCTCTCCTCTTTCCGGCGTCCTCGCCTCCTCTCTCGGTCGCAAACGTGTTGTCCTTCTAGCAGATCTAGCATTCGTTCTCGGCGCACTCATCCAAGCGTTTACAACAACAGTATGGGGCATGATACTCGGACGAAGTATTGTAGGACTTGCGGTCGGAGCAGGTAGTTTTGTTGCTCCGTTGTATATAAGTGAATTAGCACCAACCATGTGGAGAGGTAGATTAGTGGTGTTGAATGTATTGTTTATTACATTGGGGCAAGTTGTGGCTTATATTGTTGGATGGGCTTTTGTAGAATGGGGAAGTCTAGAGACGGGTTGGAGGTGGATGGTTGGTTTGGGTGCGGTGCCTGCAGCGGTACAGATCTTAGTAATGCTGTTTATGCCGGAGACGCCAAGGTGGTTGGTACAAGTCGGGAGGGTAGATGAGGGGAGAAGTGTTTTGAGTAGAGTTTTTGGGAAAGGGTTCCAGATGCAGAAGGTGGTCGACGAGGTTTTGAAGGGAATCGAAAGAGAAGTGAGAGAGGAAGATAAGGCGAAAAGGTTAAGAGAGATGGCGAGGAAAACTAAGGGATCGGAGGACTCGTGGATAAGTGACGCGAAGGATAGCTGGGAAGAATTAATAGGGGTTGGAGGAAATAGGAGAGCTTTGACAATTGCCTGTCTTCTGCAAGGTCTTCAACAGTTGTGTGGTTTCGTAAGTGCATCTAATCTACTTATCAAAAACTCAACTAACCAAATCTCCCAGAATTCCCTCATGTACTTCAGCGCCACAATCTTCACTATCGTTGGGTTCTCGTCTCCAACTCTAACATCTCTTTCCGTCGCACTCACAAATTTTATCCTAACCTGCGCCGCTCTCATGCTCATCGACCGCATCGGTCGTCGTCGTATCCTCCTCATTTCAATCCCCATAATGGTTATAGGACTCCTCCTCTGCTCCATAGGCTTCCACTTCATGGATCTCCCTTCTACCCTCTCCTCTACTCCCACTACATCATCCTCCACCTCTACCTCCCGCATTCCACCTCTCATAATCCTAACAGCAATAATGCTCTATACCGCAGCCTTCGCCCTCGGTCTTGGAAACGTCCCATGGATGCAATCTGAACTCTTTCCCCTCTCAGTCCGTTCCCTCGGCTCTTCTCTCTCTACTTGTACAAATTGGTCGGCAAATTTCATTATAGGACTTACGTTTCTTCCAATGATGGAACAGTTAACTCCAACGTGGACGTTTGTTGTGTATGCGGTGGTATGCGCGGTTGGATGGTGGGCGATTTGGTGGGTGTACCCGGAGACGAAGGGGTTGGGATTAGAGGAGGTGGGGTTATTGCTGAGGGATGGATGGGGTGTTAGAGGACAGAAGGGGCGAGAGGGAATGAATGATGAAGAAGAGAGGGAGGAAAGAGGGTAGATGAGTCTAGATGAGTCTAGATTAGACGAGATTAAATGGGTTTTGGCGTTTGTAGCTTTTGATGGGTTGATGTAGATATTTCTTGCAGGCATAGAGTATATAAGACCCTTGACAATAGAGATACTCAAGTATTCGAACAAGCAAATTGCACATAATCATGTTTGCACATATCAGGGACTAGAGATTGGTATTTGTAAATTCTTGCGATTCAGAATCTACTTACTAACTAAGCAAACGTCGACTCACTAGTTTCACTTCCCATTACTATTTGTTGAATTTCCCACGAGACCCCCACCCCCCGAGCCCCCTAAATAAGTGACCTTGCTATCCGTTCCTTTCATCAAAAGCAAATTAACCTTGAGAAACCTGTCTGATTTCCATCCAGGCAAATATCAGTTGCAGAAAATACATCCACGCAGTATGTATTGAAACAAGGGTATATCCGCCCTTACTCGCACGCAATGAAGCAAGCAGGCAAGCAATTCAATTTCACACGTAACACCTATACCAGCAAAAAAAATGCGCACTTCAATCCCATCGGCTCTTCTACATGATCAAAAAACTTATTTGGGGATAGGAGGTCTACCTCTTCCTCTTGCCGCAACCGGTGACTTCAAGGTTAAAGTAGCCGCCGGTGATGTACGGACATGTTTAACAGCTTTAACAGCAGGAATGTCATCATCTGAACTGGACCAACCGTCCTCATCTGATTCTTCGCTAAAACTCTGCTTTCTAGCTGATTTGAGCGGGTCTGAGTTTTTCGTTCCCAAGTCATCATCATGTTCGGATTCTGACTCTGATTCTGATTCTATGAGTCGGACGATTGTGGGGGCTTTCTTCGCTGGCTTGTTATCGTTATCGTTATCAAGACGCACGACTGTTGGTCCATTCTTGGCGGGCTGTGCTGAACTACTTCTATTGCTTGATGACGAAGCGTGGCCATTAGGAGCGGGTGAGATGACGTTTTTCAATGAGCTGTTCTGGGCATCTGTTGTTGGGCTAACCATCGTACCAGGCATCTCATTACGGCTTATAGATTGTTGGCGTGAAGGTACAGTTGAAGATGTTCCAGAGACTGTCTTTGGTAGAGGAATTGAACTGCTAGGATATGTACCATCGACGGGAGTGAACAACGGTGACTGTTGGGCTGAATTAACCGCCTTGGATGACGTATCCTTGGCGCTTGGTGTAGCTGATTGTCTTTGCTGCTGCTCATCGATCTTCTTTTGCTTGGATTGTTGCGAGACAATCTTCAACTTCTTTCCTTTAAGAGCAAGCTTCTCACGAAGTGAAAGGAACTGGCTAGGTTTACCAACTATAGAATTAGAGCCACCGGGCGGTGGAGGCGATTTGGACGAAGATGGCGATCGCAATTCGGGCATTGCTTGGACGGGGCGTGTGTTTTGCGGCTTCTTTGGCGGTCGACCTCTTCGTTTCTTGACAACTATTGGCTCTTCAATAGATGCCTGAATAGACTGCTCCGATAATCTTGTTTTGTCAGTTTCTGGTGATGTAGCATCATTGTTAGAATTCTCGGCTATCTTATCATTTGTTTGGTCTTCATCTTCAGACATGTCAGGGCTAACTGGACTAGCGACATTTTCTGCATCGTTTCCAAAAAGACTACCATCACTGATTTCCCGGCCATAGTCGTTGCCAGATCGTTCAGACTCATCATCTGAAATATCAATGTGCAACTTCGACTCTCTTGATCCCATGTTTTGGCGAGTTCCTCGCGTTTTCCTAGGCTTGTCCTCGAATGGATCATCACTGTCTGCTTCAGCTTCGCTTTCGTCCTCGAGCGCATTGGCAAGACTTTGTCGAGTAGCTCTAGTCTTTCTTTCTAATGGCGCACTGTTGCGCAAGGTTCTGGTCCTCGTGGCTGACACTTCAGAGCTATTATCCTCCTGATTATCCACGCCATCATGTCTTGAAAGCCATTTAGATTTTCGAGGATTTTTGATAGATGCAGGCGACTTTGACGGCTTAGAAGAGGAATCCACACTAGGAGATGCCGCCATTTTGGATGCGAGGCTTGGACGACCACGCTTTTTCTTTCCATTGTTGACGGGTGTAGAGCCAGCTCTCTGGGTTGTCTGCTCTCTGGCAAAATAATTCAAAGCCTTTGCAGCGAGATCAACACCATCTGCAACCTTACCGGCGCTGCTAATTAAACTCTGCCCTGAAGCTGGCTGCGGTTCTTCGTCTACTTCTGAACTTAACAAATTCTCTACATCCGCCAATGATGGCTCAGTATAATCCTGTCGCTTGTTGACACGTGAAGGACGATGTTCAGGTTTAGAGATACTATCTGGCTCTTTTTCTTTGTCGACCGGTTCCTTGGGTTTGACCTTTCGTTGACGCTTGGAAGCGATGAATTCCACATCTTCCTCGTCATCCTCAGGGATGCCTTCAGAATTGAGGCGTTTTCTCTTTTTCGTAACACTACGGAACTGATCAAGTGAAGCTAATAGTTCTGCAGGATCAACACTTGGCACATCAGCTGGCTCTGAGTCAGATTTCGGAGAGTCATAGAGAATGCCGTCCAGCCCAATTTCTGTGGGGTAGTAATCACCACCCATCATGTTTGCAGGTTTGGGAGTCTGGGGATTAGGTAGCGGAACCTCACTTGAAATCATGGGTGCCACTGGTGCCACCGATGGTGCCAAGAGTCTTGATGGGTATTGTGCTGCTCTACTAGGACCGTGCATATCAGCATGATAATTATCATCCAAGTCATGGTGTGCATCAAGAACTCCTAATTGCTGATGAAGTTGCTCGTCAATAGTATATTCACGGGGCTGCTGAGTCTGATCCCAAGATTGATGGAATCCGTTTATTTGTTGTTGGGCCGATTGATTTGAGTCATCGCGAAGTGAAGGATCGATGTCTGCCATATCGTTAAAATGGGTATCCTCGGGTTCGTCCGCTCGGTAGAAAGCTTCTTCCTCATATCCCAAGTAACTATTATCAATGACATGCTCCTGTGCTTTATCCCTTTCAGCTTTCTCTCGCAACCTCCTCATTCTTCCGGTTTCTTCAGAATTTGGCAGATTTTCATCTTCGTGTCTCAACCATGTAAGATTTGTTTTGGAAAAGTCAACTAGACTCTCAACACTCCTATAGTCAGCCACCTTTTTGGTATCATGCCCAAGAAGTGTTCCCTTCGGAGTATATGGTGTTTGTTTCGCATCTCTTCGACATCTTGCGCATGAGCACATCTTCAAGCATTTTGGACACTCCCAGTTTTCTATCTCCATCACCGTTTGAGGCATCATGTCAAAGGCTCGCCATAAAGTTCCATAGCAATAGGATGAGGAACATGTGGTACAATGCGCGGATTGCCAATTCCAATGATGATTGCAGCAGATGTGACAAGGACTTGTCTTGTTTTTAGTGGCCTGGACTCTACCTCTTCTAGACGGCTTTCTGTATGGTTTCTTTAGACGCCCTTCATCGTCAGCTTCTGGCTCAACATCCGACTCACCATCTAGCGGCTCTATTACATCTGGTTTAGTGATGTCTTTCCATGGCCGGATGGCAAGTTGTTCTTGACATATTTGAGCAACAGTTTTCTTGCCAAAACTATCTCTTTCCTCCTCTAAGGTTTTAGGTGAACCCTCGTGAAGAGGCTCAAATTTTAATACCACACCGCGCCATAATTCATAGTTTTCTTTGAGTTCATTCTCCTTCCATTGCTCAACCCACTCCAAACAAGAGATGCAAGCACATGAACGACCCATGGCGTAACACTCCATGCAAATATCATAGGTATCCTCCTCCCCTGTAGGAGCTGTGAGAATACATGACTTGCATGTCAAGAAACGATTGAAGATATTGCATCGGCAATATGAACAAGTGACGTTTGAATCGTATTGAATATATTCAACGTTCTTTTCAGGACGCGAGCGAGAAAACAGCTCACTGACAAGTACTTCTGTGTATAATTTAAACAAGCGTTTGAAATCTTCCATAACCTGCCGGATTCGACTTCCAGGTCTCATCCACATCTTTGGCTCCACCGTGTCTCGTGAAAGCAGGCGATAGTACTTATCTAGGGTGTAATAAATGATAGCCTTATTCTTGTATTGTTCATCGCGACAAACGAGACGGGCACGAGGAAGAGCTTCATGGATAGCAAGCTCAAGCGTATCTACAGTGGTTCGATTCCATGCAGCTTTCATCGTTCGAGTTCCACGATTCCAAACCTGGTGAGGAGCAAGGGGCGGAATCAAAATTAGATCACCAGCCTTTTGCTCCGTGACCCAGACATTAAATGGGGCTTTTCTCCAGGCGTTCAGTTGTGCAAAATGCTTCTCAACTTCTATGTCGTGGCCAAGTTTGGAAACAAACCATTCCGATACCATCTCTCTTTCTTTAGATTCCGTCATAAACCAAATCGAACTGCCAGGAATTTCCCCATCACTTCCACCCGAGGTTTCAACCATAAGATTATGTCCCAAACTTGCGCACATTTCCCTGTGAGCTGGAGTGTAAGTACCTTCGTGACCAATGTAACACATCATATTCAAAGCTCGCATATCTGTCGGCAGACTGCTCATTAGGTCGCCTGCAGGCGCAACTCCTTTTCCAAATCGCATCTGGCCAAATTCATTAGGTTCGCGGATCGCTCCATCACCACCAGTTCGCGACTCGATACAATCATTCAGGTAGAAAAAAGCTTCCGGCAAAACGTCTTTTAAATTTTCTTCCCATTCGGTAGGGCAATCAATATCTTTTAGGTATAGTCGCTGTCGTTTGGGGTCCCGGTAGGTCTGAGGGGTGAATTGATTCGCCAGTTGACCCATGGAACGTAGGTAATGTCCCATAGTCATTTGAACATCAATGCCGCTGGTAATATCTCGAACCTTTTGTACTAAAGTAAAGTTAAGCTTGGGAAATGTTTTACTGAACAGAAAATCGATCCACCTACCCTCTCTGCCCAAATTCTCCTCTAGCCATTTCGACGAGTATAACCATGGTGGCATATATGAGCCCCATCCTTCAAGAATCAGAGGTCGACCTTCTTGGACAACATATGAATATACTAATTGTTCCAAACTTTGTACTGTGTGTGCTTCTAGATCAGACTGAGGAAGTCTGCGGACGTGGTCGAAGCTCGCATTATCCTCGACTAGAGCATCGAGATCAATATTAGGTGAAAGAGGTACGAATTGTGCTCTTGGATGCTGTTGAGAAGGCATTGCGACAAGCTATATTGAATCCCAGTTGTACGTCTTGAATACTGCGAAATAGATCTTATAATAAAGCCAGCTGGTATCGCATAGTTGTCATTGCTCGGTATCTGGGGTGTAATATATGCTGGGACAATATCGACGTCGGTGGTGATCGATGCCAAAGTCAAGGCCAGTCGCGTTCGTATTGACAAATCAATATCACGAGCTTGATAATGGGCGAAAGTAGCTGAAATAGGTGAAATTCGATAGAGTATCCTGTGCGCGAATTGAGAAATAACTGAAGGCTCTTGGGAAATTCAGTTGAAGCTGTTCTGTAAGTTGTTTGAAGATGATTGCGAAGTGAGGTTCAAAGTCGTAGAAACTTATGAAGAGTTCCATGTGTAGAGAGACGCGAGGCTGCTTTAAATTTCCTTGCGATAACGCGCTAGTGGATCAATTCCACCAATTCCGGCTACAGTACAATCAATCATTTATCATTCATTGTTTAGTCAGAATTTTCTGGAAAAGGAAAAATACTAAAAAGTGGATGTATTGAAGATAAATACACTGGGAATTGATATTGATTGTGATAAAGTGAGTTTATTCATTCAATTGCAAACAAGTTTTCGTCTCCTTTTACCAGCTATTCTCAAGCTGTGGTTTTATTATTTTTTAATAGAGGAGTGAGAAGCACCATTGTAGTTTCCATTGAAATTCAGTGTATCAAGCGATATACAGAAAGCTCTTGGTTTACATACAAGAAGTAATGTACCTTTCCATCTCAAAGAGTGTCCGATTAAAGATAGTATGGAGTTTGAGTTTGCCATTGGCTTGGCGAACCTGACAAAAAATTTCTTCGTCCTGAGCTTCAATGGGTGTGTCCCATACTCGAAATTAACACATTCGAGTGTAGTTTCAAGAAGGTTTCCTCACTGGAAGCTACAGGAGAAGCAGTAGGTTTATATCAAACTAACGGACAGTAGTGGTTATTGTCCATCTCAGTCAATGATGTCTAGAAATGGCGTATTCAGCTTGCCGGGAGGCTGCCGGAATGCATTCTTTCAAAGTATTTCCTGGAGTCAGAGACCCTCGCTCAAAATCCCAATCCGCTATTCCAAGATCACCACCTCTTCATATCTTAGCAGGAAAGAAGCAAGAAAGAATGTCGAAGCTCGACATGAAAGACATCACAGTATCAAAGCGCATGCCATTCCGACGACTTTGAACAATGCAAAAATTTCGAACATAGATACCGCTACACCATCACCGGTTATCACACCTTATGTACCGCCAACTACCGGCCTATTATCAAAACTTCCATCCTCTTGGGTGCCATATGCTGAGCTCATCAGACTAGACAAGCCTGCAGGAACTTATTATCTATTTTTTCCATGTCTATTTTCAACTTTATTGGCGGCTCCATTGACCGACCCCATGGTCTCGCCATTAACCGTCATGGGAACCTCTCTTTTGTTCTTCAGCGGCGCCTTAATTATGCGTGGTGCGGGATGTACTATCAATGATCTTTGGGATCGAAATCTTGACCCTAATGTTACTCGTACTCGACTACGACCTATCGCGCGAGGAGCTATCTCTCCATTCAAAGCTTTAGTCTTCACTGGAGGTCAATTATTTGCTGGCCTTGCGGCCCTTCTTCAATTTCCATACCAATGCTTCTTCTATGCTACCCCAAGTTTACTCTTCGTGGCTTCGTATCCATTAGCTAAGCGGGTTACTCATTATCCGCAGTTTGTCTTAGGGTTGACATTTTCCTGGGGCGCGATCATGGGATTTCCTGCTCTTGGAATTGATTTACTGTCCAATAGTGCTGCTATGACCGCGACCGGATTCTTGTATGCGTCGAATGTAGCATGGACAGTTTTGTACGACATGATATATGCGCATATGGATATCAAAGATGATGCAAAAGCAGGAATCAAAAGTATAGCATTACGGCATGATGCGCAAACTAAACAGATCTTGACCGGGCTCGCCATAACTCAGGTTGGATTATTGACAGCTGCCGGCGTTGCTGTTGGTGCAGGACCAGTCTTCTTCGTTGGTGGATGTGGAGGTGCTGCTGTTACTTTGGCTGTCATGATCAAGAAGGTTAACTTGAAAAGTGTGAAAGATTGTTGGTGGTGGTTTGTTAATGGATGTTTGATAACTGGCGGTACGATTTCCGCCGGCATTGGAGGAGATTACCTGATTCGATACGTACAGAGGGCTGACAGTGAGGTACCCGGGGTTGAAAATGAGCGAAGAAAGTCATCCTTTACTGTACTCTATGACTACCTGTTTTAGTATGTAATACGATCGAAGCCACTTCGCTGGTTATCCGGGGACTTGAACTAGGGGAACGATGGGGCCCGAAACTTGTTCTGCTTACTGTACCTATTAGTTTCGACAAATAGGGCAAAGAAAGCTACCTATGTGTAATACCAGCAGGATTAAACAACATCTTACCCTCACCAAGTACTGAAGTTCCCTTCGTCTAGAATGCTCGAGACTCGAGATCGTGGCTCGGCAAGAGAGCTCCGATCAACGATGATCACAGCAAGTACCTAGCAAACTTATAAGCTTTGAGATTCCCACCAAAAAACGGGGACCAAGTTTTCATGCAAACCTCCGAGGGTCCCGAACATCTCTTTTTTGCACTTGGCACTCATTTTCTGTACCAGGTGGTTTGGGAAGTGCTTTTTCTTTCTTTTCACGAGAAATCTTTCTTCCAACCAACCCGATCAATGAATGAATCTACTCGTATGTTTAAACTTTTAAATGACATGCATACGGAGTAGAAACATCCCACGATATAGCATTAATAAACCTGTTTCAGTTATATACATACTCATACTCATACTCATTCATATTCCAATAATCGAGATATCCAACCACCAATCTCTTATCAGCCACCAACGTCAAGGGGATCAGAACTGCCGAGAGACCCATTGCTTCCTCGCGTTCTCCAGATCTTCCACCCAATCAATGATGAAAACGAAGCTTGGACGATTTCTTGTTTTAATACTTTCGTGAATCCATCGGAACATTGACATTCTTACAGTACCGCACATACAAGCAGTGCAGGTGGGGTGGTCTGGGCTCATTCGCATCGATGAAATCATTGACATTCGAGACATTCGAGACATTGTTGATGGAAACAAAGAAGAGAGAAGAATTGTTAATTGGAATGTGCTATACTACTTGGGTATATACACAACAGGTGAGGGGATGTTTTCAGCGAATAGAAATGTACAGAGAGAGAGAATCGCCCAAGAAGGTTAGAATTAAGTTGGCATCACAGTATTTGTTGCTGTACGAATGAGATGGAAGAACAAGGTTGCGGTAGGGTAGGTAGTAAAAATATGACGCCACATGTATGAGGGGAATTCGGACGTACAGTCAATGGCAGTTGATTTCTTTCAGTAACAAAAAAAGAAAAGAAAGAATTATTCCGTCGATGATTACAGAAATATCCTATATCCCCTCCGTCCCTCCCTCCCTTCATTCATACATGATAAAAACCCTGCCTACTCAAGTCAAGTCATCTTCATCCATCCCTTATTTTCTTTGACACTTTCAATATCATTTTCATTGTGTTAAAACGCAACCAAAGCACATCTAGCTATCTAGTACCTACCTACCTATCAATACCAAATACAAATACTCCACCATTCCGTCCCTCCCGCATAATCCGGATCCTACCCTTCCACCATTTCCTTACGTTAATTAATATTCCACGCTGTACTCGATCCAGTAAAGCTTTCTTCAACCATCGTCATAATCTCTTAGCTTCTTCACCAGTGATAACTCGGTCTTGTGTTGGTCAGGGAAGGCAGTTTCGGAAAAGGTATCATTGGAGATTTAACATCCTTGGAGTCATCACCGATCATCATCATCGTCACACGAATTACAAACCGGATAGCGTAGAGCTTATTCATAGCTCTCATATACATTATTAATCTCCCTCCCTGAGACTTTGCTTCTTCTTCAGTTTACTCTTTTATATCGACAAACAGCTTTCGTATCAAAAGCTCTCGAGACAGAAACATCAACATACACCCTTCTCGCCACATTCAACACCACAAAATCGTTTCAAAATGTTTTCACTGCCACAACTAGTTTTGAGGGTTCTCCAATTTCTCTGCGTCCTCATAGCCCTCGCTCTCGTCGCTTCGGCCATAGATGACCAGTTTTTCGGCAACTCAAGTGTGAACTGGGCCATGTTTGTCGCCGTTTTCTCAATCATTGTCGTTTTCTATGGAATGGCAGCCGCATTTACAGAGTCGCTAGCACAGCCCATGATCCTGGGTGCGATGGACGGTCTTGCTACCCTTTTCAACTTCATCGCTGGTGTTGTTCTTGCCGCCAGACTCGGTGTACACAGCTGCAGTAACAGAGTAAGTTTGATTTTGCAAGACGTGTTGGTAATGATCTTTGCTAATAAACATCTAGGGGTATCTCGTCAGCAACGGCTTGACACAGGGAATGTCAGGAAGATGCCGAGAGCTCCAGGCGGCCACCGCATTTTTCTGGTTCGCTTTTGCCTTGTTCGCTGCGTCCATCGCCATGGATTTCATGGGTGGAGGTTCCAGCATGGCTCGTCGTAGCAACGTTCGCAAAAGCGGACCGACCATGTCCCAAGTCTAAGCAACAAATTGGCAAATAATGGGTTCGTACTTTCCTCCACTTCATTCTTTCGATGCCATTCTTTCGATGCTTTATCCCATACCACCTATCGTCGTTGTGTATCTCAACTAACAACTATATCAGATCAAGTGGCAACGAAAGCTTACTATTCGCGGTCAGGGTAATAGGATATCAGGTAGGACTGAATGCCCATTTTGAATTGCGTTTAAGCGCAAAGCTATGCAAACGATGTTTATGGCTTTATGATTTTAACTTAGGAAAGGCAGAAGGGTTTTTGGACGCTGTCTTTTGGTGTGTACAATATGTTCGGGAATGTGGACTTAATAATACCATACTTAATAATAAATAAATGTATTCGATGTCTTTTAACATATCGTCCAACACTCTACCATTATATGCACAGTATTGAACAGTTAGCAATAGGGTGTGTTAATTTTTTTGGCAACAAAGGAATATTTAAACAAGGTGTGTATACTTTCAAACGAACCATCAATCAAAAGGTGCGACTACTTCGTTGGATTTTCTTGGGGAAAAAAACCACTTCTGAAAAATGTGTAGATGCATTACCATATGTACTGAGTGAACTAAATCATATACACTTCCTGCTTGTCCTCAAGCGACCCTCTTTATGCAGTGTACCCAGCCGATGTACCACATATCGGCAATATACCCCATATACATCATCTATAAACGCCAATCCCAATGCCATGCTCGCTGTAACTGAACATATCCCTTATGATATACCAAAGAACTTTCTTATTGCGTGAAACGTCTGATGGATGGTGTCTGATATTGCCCCAGTCCACATGTTCACTTGCCCACGAGCTTTTTGTCCATAACTTCACAAGAAAGTCTTTCTCGAATCTGCGACTTGCATTCGTAAATATATCCCCTCTGGTATTGACTGGCTTCGCATTCGCAGGCGTTAAGGTCGCTAGCTCACAAATTACTCAAACTCCTGGGTTACTCATAACGTAGCTGCGGCTTCGATAGCTCCGGCACCCTTAAAGGTAGGGTTACTGGTTATTTCGACAGTGACTGGATACTTCCACGTCATGTACTTTGCCCAACCTATTCGCAAATACGTGGATTGATTAGCCAATATTCTTTCCCATCTACATGCACAGTATTCGAGGAACGGGGATGATGTAAACTCCTCCCCTCATCTCCCAATCAAAGACTATCGAAATGCAAACATGCGAAATAAAGACAATAGCATAAAAAAATAGGAGAACATACTCCAATAAGCAAATTTCCTTCCAAAGTATTTCCCACACCATGGTACAATCACCATCGTAAGCATCATTTCCAACTGCTGCAAACTGGCTTCCCATTCTTTCTGTGCATCGGATTCTTCTACATCGTCTGAAGAGGCATAATCTGAACTATCGACAGAGGAAGGCAGAGAATCTAACTCGTGGAGTTCGTCATCTTGAGTGTGGGAGGAGGCATGCATATAGGAATCTGATGCGGAGATGGACATTTTGGGGTAATGGAGGGTCGATTAAACGGCGGTTGAGTGGATGGACGTAGAGGGTTAATTAATTTCCTAGGAAAAGCATAGAAAGAACGTGAGAATCGCTATCGCCAAAGAAGAGTCTGGCGATGCATTGAAGTGCGAGAAGAGTCTATAGGGAAGGCTGATAATTGTTTAGCTATCTCGAGGTCATACTTGAAGCTTGAAGTCGGCGCCGATTTGCTTGTGGCGTTCGATCACGTGATGTAGCATTTGACCTCTAATTTTTAAGGCTAAAAGCTGGCTTTTGAGTCATCGAATCAATTAATATATATCGAGTGAGTGCGGGCAACTTTTATTTCGAACACACACAACTACATCACATTTCGAACAACAACGCCAAAGGAATATTATAGGATTATTCCCATCAGAAAATAATCATCGAAATAATCACTAGCGCAATCATGGCCGACACAGTAAGTTAACAATCGCTCTATGCTTTGTGAATCAATTTCACCCCACCTAAATCTTGATTGTTCTCATTTCAGGCCCGATTTTAACAACAAACCACAGGAAGTTGACGCCAAACCACGCAAATCCGTAGCCTTCAGCGACGGAACTACGATTGTAGACGAGAACGGGGAAGTCACAATGAAGGAAGACGGACACGACGATACTAAAGAAACGGCGCAGTCACATTCACCTAGTACGCCGCCACTTTCTCAAGCTTTGGGCGCATTTACTGATCCTTTCCAAGGCAATGGCGATGATGCGACCGCAACCAAGGAAGATGATGGATTGGGCGATTTGTCGTTGATGAAGAAAAAGAAGAAGAAGAGCAAGAAGGTTGAGGAAGGCGAGGAGGGAGGTGATGAAGCTGCTGCAGATGGTGGTCTCGATCTCTCGACAATGAAGAAGAAGAAGAGAAGCAAGAAGCCCAAGGATACCGAAGATGATTTCACAGCCAGACTTGCAGCTGCAAATCTCAACGACGAAGGCGAGGGTGAAAAGGCGGCAGAGGAAACCCCGGTCGATGACGGTGATATGATTAAGGGAACAGGTATCTGGGCGCATGACGAGACCAAAGTAATTTCATACGAACAACTCCTCTCCAGATTCTTCACCTTGCTCGCAGCCAAGAACCCAGACCACGCATCTTCCGGTTCCAAGAGTTATAAGATTCCTCCTCCACAATGTCTGCGTGAAGGAAACAAGAAGACCATCTTTGCCAATATCGCCGAGATTTGCAAACGTATGAAGAGAACTGATGAGCACGTTACTCAATATCTGTTTGCTGAATTGGGTACCAATGGTTCCGTTGATGGTAGCAGACGTTTGGTTATCAAGGGTCGTTTCCAACAGAAGCAAATTGAAAACGTTTTGAGGAAATATATCAGTACGTTTGGTTTCTTATTTTTATAGGCTCTACTAACCTTCCTCACAGTGGAATACGTCACCTGCAAAACCTGCCGATCCCCAGATACCGAACTCAACAAAGGAGAGAACAGATTGTTTTTCATCACCTGCAATTCTTGCGGATCCAGACGTTCCGTCACTGCCATCAAGACCGGTTTCTCTGCACAAGTCGGAAAGAGAAGAAGACAACAAGGTTAGAGTGATGAGGCAAAGACTCGGGGGCGTACACGAATTCTTAGTTAGCCATTTGCTTCTCTGCGCAGGTTGGGAGGAGAAAAAAATAACAGATATAGAGTACTTAGGTCGAAAGTTGGGATTTTACATTATGAGCTTTCCTTACTTTGGTGTTTTCAAACAAGATTTGATAGTGAAATGATCATTTCGAGTTCAAAATTTCACATCAGATATCCTGAACAAATGGTTCTTCCAATTTAACTACTTTTCAATGCTTGAACTCGGATCTGAAGATTTTATAACTGATGTCTGTATCCCGTAATACCGGGAAGTGTAGGTAGGTAATAATGACTGATAAACAAACAACTCGAAGAATGCCAGAACAATTTGAATTTGGATTCTCTTTTTTAAAATCTAGCTTCGGGGACTGTTTGTGCTCTTATCTGAATCACCTAGTATGTCTCAATGGGAATGATGATGGGTATATAGATTTTTAGATCCCGGATCAAATTAGAGAAGCTAGTTAAGAATAAAGTTTTAAGGGCCATCGTAGGACATGTTGAGGGTTCTCTACCCAAGAATACGTAGTAGAGTACGCGTCGTATGATCGCTTTAATCACCAATAGCTAAAGATAATCAAATTGATGATGGACATTTCGGGGTAGTTCTTTCATAAGTGTGTCTGGCAAGGGAGTGTATGGTGCAGGTGGTTGGACGAAAGATGCGCGGAGGGGAAGTGTGGTGTGCTTGAAAAAGTATGGATTGTGAATCGGATAACACTTTTTGTGATATATACATACATTCTGGTGTTGAGGTATGTATCTATGTACCTATGTGAGTACTTGGTAGGTAGCTAGATAACGCAGAAACACCTAGGTAGGGCTTTATATTAGGTGGTATCGATGTGCTACAAATATCTTTCAGAAATAACATTAAGAAACAATAGGTTCTCTACTACCAACAGATGAATGACCCAAGAAAGAATCTGGAATCTAGATTTACGATATCAATATGTCTAATTATTTTCTATACATATCCATACCTAGGTAAACAGCACCTAACGCATCCATCACCTAGTCTCCCCATCTCACCCATTTGGTGAAGATATAATACTTAAGCGCTCGGGAATTTTTAGGGCTCCATTTTTGATCGATAGCAATATCGCAAAGTCCAAGCTTCTGTTTCCATCCTGGAAGAATGATTGGTACGCAGAGGACAAACGAAAATAGCACAGCCCGCACCAAGAACCGCGCTGACCAATCCGGGGCGTGAGGGCGTGAGATGAGGTGTGGGAGCTTGGGTGTGAGATGCATGGGATTTTGCATGGGAGAGGAGATGCGTGATGGGTGGGTTTATATGATGAGAGGGAGCTGCTGTTTTTTTTTGGTTTGCGATGAGTTGATGAGTTGATGTTTTGAGTTTTTGTTGGACTTATGTTGGATTGCTCGATTGATTGAAGTTCTCGTGAAATTCGTTCGTGAGTTATTGAGTATTGAGTATTGGATTTATTGAATTGGATTTAAACTGGTGAGTGAGTACTGCGTGTTGAAGAGTTTGGATGGTAGAAAATAAGTGCGGGGCAAGCTTCAGAGCTTCATGAGATGGAATAAGATGGGCTGATATGCTGACTGGAATTCAGCTCTGCAATTACAAGTACTCAAGCAAAGCCTGATATAGCTTTGAATTTTTTCGATTGTTTGATTCTTGAAGTCATTCAGGATGTCCACATATTATCCTCGTAAGTATTTCTGGTTAGCTTGAGAGAAATGCAACTGCTAATACTTTGATAGCTCCTCCTGGAGGTAATGGAGGTAAGGAGATCACTCATTTGCTAAGAATATACCTCTGACCTTCCACTACAGCTTCCGCTCCCTCTCCCCAACAACAACAATACGCACCTCCACCGACCTCTCCTCCTCCAAACCAGACCTCATTCCAATACGCTGCTCCACCAACCTCTCCACCACCAAATCAAACCTCATTTCAATACCCTGCTCCTCCTGTTTCTCCTCCAGCTCAATCCTCGCATGTCTACTACCCTCCTCCCCCTTCCACCTCCACGACAAGCTATACCCCTCCTCCCAACCCTCAACCTACTCCTCCCCAACAACAACAATATGCGCCTCCCCCAAATTTCTCTCATCGTCCCTCTTATTCCGGCGGCCAACATACTCTTCCCATTCATACTCCACCACCCCAACAATCCCAAGCCTACGCTTCTTCCTCCGCGGTTTCCCCCCAAGAAACACATCATCCCAACTTTGCACAACCGAGCTCCAATCCCACTACAAATACATCAGATTATCCGCCCGAAAAACCAGCTCTCAATACAAGTCTCACGACCAATTTGGATCATGGAGCGCCCAGCGCAGCACATTTCGTGGGAGCAAGTACCACGCAAGATGATGTGGGAACATTCAATGGGGGAAGTTATCGCGTTAGTCATAGAGATACGAATAGCATTGTGACGATTCAGTTAGCGATGGGATGTCCATTGACTGTTAAACCTGGTTTGTTTTCCATTTTTGAGTCTTTCGTCGGATAATGTGATGTTTATTTGGGGGGGGAGTAAAAGCAAAGAGAATAAATTATAGCTAACCCAATCAAAGGCGCAATGATCGCAATGACCCCCACCATAACCCTCAAAGGCGCCATCAAATTCTCCATGAAAAAATTAGTTATCGGAGGCGAATTGGCACATTCGACGTTTACCGGCCCGGGAGAACTTCTCCTCGCTCCCTCGGCTCTAGGCGATATCACGAATATTCGACTTACGGGTAATGAACAGTGGAGTGTAGGACGGGATGCGTATTTAGCTTCTACACAAGGTGTTATTAAAGAGTACAAGAGACAGGGGATTGGAAAAGCGATGTTTAGTGGAGAGGGTTTGTTTGTTTATAAAATTAGTGGAGTGGGTTTGTTGTGGATTAGTAGTTTGGGCGCGATTATTAGGAAGGATGTATGTCCCCCCCCTTTTTTTCTCATTTCTTTTATTGCCCTGGCTGGTCTTATGTTCTCCTTCTTCCACATGAAAACTAATACCACGGAAATAGTTACAAGAAGGCGAACGATACATAGTGGATAATGGACATCTCGTCGCTTGGAACACAAAATATGTATTGGAGCGCGTGGCTTCGGGGGGAATCATTAGTGGATTGAGTAGTGGAGAAGGATTGGTGTGTAAGTTCACAGGACCGGGAACTGTTTTTATTCAGACGAGAAATCCGGTCGCGTTTGGTCAGTGGATTGCGGCGCATTCGGGTGCTTGAGTAGGGAGAGGATGAGGAGAGGAGTGGGCAAGAAGAGAATGGGGTAGGGCGAGAAGGGAAGAGAAGTAATTGTGGATTTTGATGGTTTTCTGCGCGTTTGGAGATTTTCGAAAGCCTGAGGGCATATGATTTGATTTGGTTCGATTTTATTTTATTCTATTTGATGATACCTTGTCCTTCGTTTTAACGACTTTTATTTTACGATTACTACTGGGGAGTTTTACCTTGAATAACAAAAAGCAATATGATGTTTTTGTGTCCATTCTTCTCTGAAGTTAATTTAGGTGATGAAGATATGTGAAGAAACGTGTCTTAAACTACTTGTCATTCAATTGCTACTTGGCTATATCTTTCTTGAGTGAGTGAGTATATTGTAGCTAAGTTTAGTCTTTCTCTTTATCGAAACGTAATTTGATGAACAACCAAGACAAGAAAGACGTAAATACGAATGTCAGTAGGCAGATCAAAAACAGTAATACTCCAAACTCCCTCTCCTACCTACCCCTCTCCCTCTCCCTCTCCCTCTCCCTCTCCCTCTCCCTCTCCCTCTCCCTCTCCCTCCCTCCCGCACCACAAAGGCCAGCAAAAGCTCCCTCCCTCCCCACCAACTCCCTCGGACTCTCCACCTCCACAACTCTCCCCCTCTCAAGCACAACAATCCGCTCGCTATTTATAATACTATCCAATCTATGCGCTACAACCAATATCATATATCCTCTAAATACCTTTCGAATAATTCTCTGCATTATCTCGTCGGTTTCCCAGTCTTTATTACTTGTTGCTTCATTGAGGAGTAAGATACCTCCCTTTTCTGATCTATGCGATGCGGCGAGGATAACGCGCGCGAGTCCGAATAGTTATTTTTGTCCTTGGGAGAGGAGATTAGAGGAAGCGATTGTATTGAGATCGTTGAGTGGGGAGAAGAGGGACCAGAGATGGACTTTTTGAAGAGCAGCGATGAGTTGGGGATTGGTGTATTGTGTTAGAGGATCTAGATTGTAGCGGATGGACTGTTGGGTTAGAAATGCATTTTGAGGGACAGTAAGGAGTCGTTCGAGAAGAGTTTGAGGTTGATGTTGGAGAGGTCTATACATCTATGATAATGGATCCACTAGAGGGTTCTAAAAGTCAGAGAAGAGAGAACAGTAAGGGACTTTTGCCGCTGCCGCTGCCGCTGAGACCGCAGAATCCGATTTTCTCGCCGGCGTGGATGGAGAGGGTGATGTTGTGGAGAGAGAGTGTTGAGAGGGTGTAGCTAGCATTCAGGTTGCGGGTTTCGATGCTGCTGTGCTAGGGCTAGTTGGGAGAGAGGGTAATGGGAGAGAGGGGCTTGGGCTCTGAGGGGGTGCGATGTGCGAATTCTCGAGTACGTGAAATGGCTCTGGGGGAGACTTCTAGTTGTATCCGGTATTGGAAAAGAAAACTAAGAGTTTGGTTGAAACTTAGAATATTGTTTAATAAGAAGCTGAGAGATCCTGGACTGATGAATTTGCATAGTTTGATAACTAATGCTATAATAATGATAGTTGGAGTAATAATTATTAAATCTAATACTAACTAAAGCCATCTCTAAATACAATAAAAAAGATAATAAGGGACTTGAAATCTTTCAACCTTTTCAATCATTAAATCTATGGATTATTCTTACCACTCTAAAACTCGAATGCTTGAAAATCTATTTAATATTTTTGTAAATTGAGAATACATTGGATTTCTCATTTCTGGTTCAATGGCTTGAAGTTGTTGATATGTTATTCGCTAAGTGATCAAAAATGATAAACGTATTGGCCTAAAGGCGAGAAATATCAGCACAAGGCGATTCGAAATGACTCACTTCCGAGAAACTGATGTTAAACTGCTCTGGCATGTATTGGAGGATTAAAATCTGAACCTTCTGACCGAGTGTAGCAAAGATCCCAGCAATTAACAACGGGGTGGCACATCTAATCTGTAAGAGATTATGAAATGATCTATTAACCACGTGCCTGCTGCTATTGGGCTGCATTCTGGAGCCCGAGATATTGGTATATTCTGAAGCAGAATCAGTCTCCGGCTCAGAAGCTGATGATTAAGCTACTTCTCCCTTTGGAAGGAGGAGGCTTAAGCTTAAAGCCAAAGACATCAATGCGAGACCAACCAATTGTGTGACATAGTTCCCCAAAGATTTCATCGTTGTTGAACTCAGTCCAAAGCCCAGGATTGCTACTACCAAAGCTGTACCGTGTATAAAAGGGAAGACTGAGACTCTTTGAGTTGATGGTGTGACAGCTGCTACAATCGTCATGAGAATAGCAAGAGGCACACTTGCCCCGCCCCCAATCAAGGTTAATACGGGACCTATCCAAACCAGAAACAAGCCAGACCACACCAGTAGTCCACGTTGAGCTCAGTACCAATCCCAGATTGCCCAGAGACAGAATCGATCACCCGTACTGATCTGCCATGCTGCTGTAGATACCAGACAAAAGAAGGATGGGTAGGTATTCCAAAAGGTAGAAGACACATAAAATCAGCACCAGCTCACTTACAATTGCATAATCTTTTTGACAATTTATTAAAAGTTTATTTACATCCTGAGATACCTTGATGCATAGTTGTTCTTTATAAGATACAATTGATGCGATTAGAGGAATCGTTCGCATCGCCATACCAGTTTCGAAAGGGAGTTCCAGAACACCAACCAGGCTCCAGACCAACCACTTGAATCTCAATCTTCGAATAGAGAACTATAGAGGGTCCTGCGTCCCAGAAAACTGCAAAAAAGGAGTTTGCACATCTTCTTGCCTCTGTTGGTTACGGCTGCCACGCATCATGTGTTTCTCTGATCTGACAGATGAGATTTTGAAAATCGACTTGTAAGCATAGGTAATTGTGGAGCGAGAATCTGAAGTTTAGACGTATGGATGCCCACAGAGCAGCCTACGGATAACTTAGTCTAAAAACGGGTTATACATCCGCCAGATGGAATGAGGGTCGCGCACCGTTTTCCGATCTCAACCTCAACCAAGTGACAAGGCAAACAGGCAAGACTTCATGTCAACGGGCCGAGTATTACCCGAAAAGGTAGAATAATGTGGAATCAAGTAACGTGATGAAAGCAACACAGCTTTCATGATCAATAAATAAAACTCAATCGACCAAGCTTTTCTAAAGAATTAAAAGCTCGATATCTATCAATGAAAATTAATCATGAACATGTCTCTGAGTATCAATTCAAACATGTAGCGACGTCATTTTCACGTGACTTGCAAACGTAGAGAATACGGAAGGCACAAGCGAGTTGAATCCAGCACATGCAAACTAGGAAACAATACTACCATTTCAGGCAAGCAAAGGCAAACACGACCTCAAAATTTTCGCTCTTCAACAGCTTCACAGATCATCACATTAACCAAAAATTCTACCTCCATCCATAAATATCAGAAATCATTGCAGAGAACACAAATCTTGATAGTCAGAAACGGTCACATCGACAAAGCCACAATTACATATGGCGACTTCCGATGGGGTTGCGGTGGAGGTGCACGGGACAACTCAGCTTCCAAATTCTATTTTGAGTTGGTACGATGAGACTCGTCCTATGTGGATTGACCTTGTAGGAGATTATGCTGGGAAGGAGTTATTTCTTCTCGAGGGAGACTCTCTTTTAAGAGAATGTTTCGCAGATGAAAGGATTGATTTTCAAGGTAACGATTTTATGTTCCTATTGATGTGCTGCTCTTGGATTCCCCAGGTATTGATTCTCTTCGGAGAATTTCAAATCGGGGATTTTACCAGGTGCTTGGAATACGTGCTTTGAGTACATAAGATGTGCAACATCACACACCAAGGATGAAAGTTTCATGTCGTTATGAAGACGACATCAAAGCGACATAAGGATTCCTAGCAATCACGTTATTTACAACAAGGACTATGCGCTAACAATATCTTTCAGATGGATTTCAACTGCTTCATGCCGTATACGTAGTGGAGCGATTCCTTGAGAATCTAGTCAAGAGACATTGCAACTTCCACATTGCTTTCTTCGAGGGTATGTGTTTCCCCTCCAGAGCTATGCTCTTGATCTTCTGAATATCATTCGAAAATTCAAATCCTTCATTATCCTTGGGGCCGATTGATAATTCTAACTTGAATGGTAGAGAATCGGCAATTATGTGTACCACCAGGAGTGAAATCCACACATCGAGCTCGGTATCTCCTCGCTCGAACAGCGATTCGACAACATTTACACCACAAATTACCATTATCACATCCAGAGATTGTGGTCAATACTTTCCCTTCCTTGGAGAGTAAAGAGTTCTCCAGTTATCTTCATGCTACACCGATACACTTTGTCATGTCGCACGACGGGGCTGCAACGGCAAAGCAACCTCGCTCATCGAAGGAAGAAAAGACGACTCTTCGAGGATTGATATGGTTTTTTAATTCCCACAAGCTCAATATTGCTCTCATTAATCGCATAGAGTTCAGAGATTCAAAGGTTTTCACCATGATCGTGGAAAGCATGACTGTCTCAAGCCAACGCAAGCTGCTTATCTGTTCTAAGTTTACCAAGGACATTGAAGAAGCTCGCATGAAATTTGCCAAAGATTCACAATCGGATAACTCTAGTGGAATGCCGTCCGTTGACGACGAAATCACCCAAAAGTTGTCTGCTGCGTCGGCAAAGATTCACTCGAGTGAAAGATCATGCGTTTCTTTTCTTTCTGCTTCTCATATTCTTAAAGAGAACACATCTGACATATTTTTTGCTTCTGCCCTCATTTTACACAGCGTTATGCTTAATCAAATCCCTCTTTCAAAGCGTCGATTCCCATCTGTTGAATTCGACAATGACTTCGAAGAGGAAATTACTAGTTTCTTGTCCTTATTTGCAGATGTTGCTCAGGTTATTCTAAACAACCCGACATGGAGCAAATTTGTTGAAACTAATGATATCACAAGAGATTCTCATGATCTTGTCGATGGACGATTATTCCGTGTCGTCATTCAAGCCATGTGCGACGAATCATTAGACCCCTTTCCTCAGTCAATTCAAGATGAATGGCTCGTACTTTGCAATCTGACCAAGGAGCTTTCAAGTCAAGAACTTTCCTTGGACAAAAGCATTGATTTATCCTCAGTCAAAGTTACCCCGTGCGAAGATTCCGACTCAAGCTCGGATGATCTTACAGTTTTACCGTTCACTAATGCTGTCTTCAACAAGCATTTGGAGTGTATCCATGTTAAAACAGATTCATCTCTGTCTGCACAGTTTGGTACCATGAAGCTTTACAGAGAAACAAGTCATTGGCATAATCACAAAAAGCCTCTTATTACAAAAGCTCCTGTGGCACAGAAAGTGTCCAAATGGCGGTAAGTTACACTAATTCAAGCTTAATCTCTAGATTCCTCAATTGCAGTAAAGCAGATACTAATTAGTCTACAGTAATCCCCTTCGAACAAATCAATTTTATATGAGTGAAATGACATCATACGCCGCGAGTTTGACAGGAGCAAAGGGGAAAGCACTCGAACCGGAGACAATCGTGGTGGGACCCAAGCAACTGGTCAAAGTTGCTGAGGAGAAACCATCAAAGACGAGTAAAGTCGAAAAGCCAGCTCCTAAATCGAAGAAAGAAGCCCCAGCTGATGTATGATTCTTTTGCGCTTGGTCAATTGAATAAAGCTGACAATAATTTCTAGAACAAAAAATCTGCATCAAATGCTAAGAAAGGCACTAAAAAGGGCGGTGGGCTTTCAGCTGCTGATCAGATCCGTGCTGCAAATCTGGAAAAGAAAGGAGATACAGAGACTGATAAAGCTTTCCTTGCGTGGTCTAATATGATTACGAAGGAATTTGATTTGATTTCTAACGATGAAAATCGCTATCTCCGGGCCAAAAAATATCTTGACGATCTCGATAATGCAAGAACAAAAATTCTTGAAGGAGATATCAACACTTTCATCCTCCAATGCCTACTGTCTTGGTGGGCAGGGTACTGTAAGCAGAACAAGAAAATTAATGGCTACCACGTAGTCGCACTGATTTGGACTACTGTAAGATCTATATGCACCACCAATGCACCTATCACGAAAGAGATCGTTCAGCATGTCGAAAAGATATGCAAATTGGTTGGTATTTCGGACGCTTTCTCATCTCCGAAAGTCCTTGGTGCTGATCGAAAGCTATCTTTTGCCTTCAAGTATCCTCCTCCAACTTTGTCCTTGAAAATTGATATTTCTCAATCAGAGTTTCAGCTGGAACATTGCGGTCCTTATATGGACAGAATGCTTGATGCAAAGCCAGATCCACGTGTTTCTAGCTTCGTTCCTGATGGTTGGCAGAGAGATGTGCTCGATCAATTAGATGCCAATAAGAGTGTATTCGTAGTAGCACCAACTTCTGCTGGTAAAACTTTCATAAGTTTCTACGCCATGGAACAAATTCTAAGAGCCGATAACGATGGAGTTCTGGTTTATGTTGCACCAACAAAGGCACTTGTCAATCAGATTGCAGCCGAAGTTCAGGGTAAGCACTATCGCATTTGTTCCCCTTTCCTCTCTCAACTTTGTGAAATTAAGGAGCAAAAAAGAGAATTCCTTCTTCCAATTTTTGTCTTTTTATGAAAGTTGCCACTAATAATGCTATCTTCCAGGTCGATTCTCCAAGAGATTTCCTCAAGCCGGTAAAGGAGTGTGGGCTATTCACACTAGAGATTATCGTGTGAACAATTCTACAGGTTGTCAAATTCTCGTCACTGTACCCCATATTCTTCAGATTATGCTTCTATCACCAACGAATGCGAAGTCGTGGGCTCCAAGAGTGAAGCGTATTATTTTCGATGAAATTCATTCTATTGGACAATCTGAAGATGGTGTGGTATGGGAGCAACTTTTGTTATTATCACCATGCCCTATCATTGCTCTTTCTGCAACTGTGGGCAATCCTGAGCAGTTTGCGGATTGGCTAGGAGAAACTCAAAAGGCGAATGGATCCGAGTTAAAGATGATCAAACACTCAACAAGATACTCCGATTTACGAAAGTTCATGTACGAGCCACCTAAGAAATTCGACTTCGAAGGTCTTGGAGACTCATTCGGTCTAGGTTTAGGTCTGGATGGTCTACAAGGCTTCGAATCCTTTCACCCTGTGTCTAGTTTGGTTGATCCTTCAAGAGGAATGCCTGAAGATCTTGCACTTGAACCCAGAGATTGCTTATCCCTATGGAGAGCCATGGTCAAACATCAAAGCAAGGAGTACAGTGTCCCTGACTCATTAAATCCTGAAAAGGCGTTGCCGTCCTGTATTCGAAAAGCAGATATTTTTGCATGGGAAAAGAACCTTAAGAAAGTATTGCTTCAATGGATGACAGAGTGTCAATCACAATTCGCCAATGTGGTAAAGGAACTGACCCCAGAAAGTGTTGAGACCAAGAACGATGTTTCAATTGACAGCACCTCGGATTCTGCGACTGAGCCCATTGACCCATTAGATCTACAAGCTACAACTCTGCCATTACTATATCAATTGCACAAGCGTCGTGCCCTACCAGCTATATTGTTCAATTATGACCGATCTGCTTGTGAGAGCATTGCGAACACTCTATTGAACCAGTTAGTTCAATCGGAAGAACAATGGAAGAAAGGATCAGCTTGGAAAAAGTGGATGGACGGCTATGAAAAGTACCAGGAAATGAAGGCAAAGAAAGGTCGTAAACCGGTCAAGCCATCCAAGAAATCTACCCAAGATGACGAAGGTGGATCGAAGATGGACCGAATGCGTGAGGATGCAACAGATGGATCTTCTTCCTACGATCTCTTCGATCCA